GCAGTGTGATTCAGGGTTGTGTTGGCATAACCACGGGGGCAGCAAACAGGAGTGGCTGGAAGAGAGAAGGGGACCAGGAAATCCTTAAGCTAGAACTGCTGCCAAAGCCTTTGTATTGTCAAGCTAGGGCCTTGGTGACTAATTCTGCTGTTTAACCTTGAGCAAACAGTGGAGCTGAGAATAAATGCCTTGAGCTGTGGCTCAGCCTTGTGCTGATCTGCCTTGTCACTTTGCTTTATTCATGTAGAGTGGTCTTTGTTGGAGAAACATCTGTCAGTCTGGAAGTGATGTTTGTCAATATGTGTTGTGTTCAAATGTAACAGAGGTGTTTCGTTCTAAGCGTATCACGCATCAACAAGTGAGAGCTATTCCTGTCCCATTTGTCTTTCTTCTGTTTGCTCAAGGATTGACGTAGTTGGGATGATTTACACAGAAGGCATTATTTCTTCACAGGTGGTTATTCCACATCTTTTTCCATCAGTGTTCAACTCGGATTTATGTGGTTGTGCTTCACAATTACTATCATAATATCCCCCACGTGTTTTTGTCTCGTGGCCTTTAGACTTTAGAGATTTTTCCAGGGTGGCTAATCTTGAAGTTGTATGTAAACTTTTATTAATACTGCTGCCAACATTTAAGGTTCACACTTCATGAATCAGGATTCTACTTTTACAACTTTGAGACCTCTCTGTTAGCTGGAATTTGATATTGAGGTTAGAATAGGTTGATTGGTGTTGGGCTTTTTTTGAGCTTCAGAATGGATGCTTAAATGCTGAGACTGTGGCAAGAGCAGACAAAGTGTTTAAAATAAATTTTTCCAGTAAGATCTTAACTGCTCTACTTAGCTGCTTTCTTTGCTTAGTTCAGACATCTTTAGCAAAGTTGTATTGTTAAGGAAAGGAGATATAAAAAAGCTGTGGGAGGACAGAGAAGTTAATGTTTAAAAATACACAAAGTGATTTAGTAAACAGTGTTGCAGTGTCATGTGGGGAGGAACTGAATTCTTTCAGCAGATTAGTTTTAAGATGCAGCCTTGGCTATGCCCTCCTGGGCAAAGCTGCAGCCCACATAAAACTTGGGTTATACCAATATTCATAAAGAATATGATTAGCATCAGCTGGGCTGGCTCTATGACAGCTTTGGATGGAAACAGGAAAAAGCAGACTTCTTTTACAGTAACCAAATGTAGTATTGGCACTTATTTGCATTGACAAAGATACTTCAGCAAGTGAGCTACCCAATCAATTCCTAAGTTAGCTGTCGTATGAGAAATGTCTCTGCAATCAGTTGTGTGTGCACTTCAGTGCTATAGACTTATGTTTAAAATAAGGTTGTAAGTGTCCCAGAGTGTTTTTTAAAAAGCTTAAAAGCTAAGTTGCTGAAGTTCTTGTACTCCATCTTCTAAATGATTTATTCAAATACAGTGTGAGAAACTGAGTGTTGAAGCCCTGTGTATTTGGAGCCAGGATTGTAAAGGGGAGTTGGAGGTGAGAGCAGGAGCTTCCTGTTAGGTAACAGTTTGTCAGAAGAGTTGTAGGGTCATGCCTACTCTTACAGCAGCAAAGAATTTGCTATGCTTGAGGCTGATGCCTCTGTCTTGTGCCCTCCTATGAACCATAATTGTTCAGAGTTATACACAAGACCCTAGATGAATTATTTGCATAGATTGCACAGTAGTTATGTTATTTTTATAACACCTCATGGAGAATTTCTGTGTACTAGAATTGTTCCATTTTATGTTTTCATTTACTACAATTGAGTTTAAAGCCTTGCTTTTTCTGTTTTGATACTCACAGGGAAAATTAATTCCTTCTAATAGCTCTTCAGTTTGTATCATACTTCTAACCAATAAGTATTTACACAATAGATATTTTAAGTGGAGTGTCCTGGAAGAGAAATAGGCAACTGCATGTGCAACTAAACACAGATGAGCTTGGACAGGTTGTCCATATAAAAGGCCTTAAAGGCTCTTATTTCACACAGAGAATGTTAGAAAGCAGATCCAAACTACACCTTCTGCAAATTGCATGCCTCAGAGAAGATGTAGCTGTGAAATTTTTGGATCAGAAATTATTTTTAAGACCTTCCAGTAAGGTAACAACATTGCTTCTTTAATCAGGATTTTTTGACCAAAAAAAAATTATATACCTATCGTTTAACAGGTCTTGGACAGTACATTCATCGTTCCGAATAATCCTTTTCCTTGGTTAAGTACCATCAAATAATTAATACATACATACAAAAATGAAGAACAGTGTTCCAGATCTGCAGAGTTTTTCTTGGATTTTTTCTTATCCTCTTCTGCTCAGACTGTGTCTACTGTCACAAGTTGTTAAAAAGTTTTAGAAACCAATAGATGCAGTTCAGAGAAGGAGAGTAGCAATGCAAGTGAAAAAACTTAATGAATTAAGAGTAAACACCTTGTCTGTTTGCTTCTGTTGTTAGCAGGGTAAACAAGAATGAAGCAGGGTCTGTCATTGGAGTGCATGAAATATCTCCCTGCCTGCATTTTTGGTGCTGTTTACCAGAATGGCCTAGGTTTTGTGTTGGTTTTAGTCCAAATACACAGGCCGAGTGTATTTATGGCTATTCCAGTAAGGAAATTTTATTGAAATATAAAGACAACTAAATATTGCTCCTGTTGCAAAACGGTTGACTGAAATTATCCCAGAGAACTCAAGGAAAGCAGAAGTGGACATCATTGTTTTCAGTCTTGTAGCTTTGGTCTACATGAAGGCTGGCAGCCTTTTGGATACATGCTCCTGCCAGCTAAGGGCAGCGTCTTCCACGCCTCACTGGAATGCTGAAGTTTGGGAGCAAACTTTAAGGCATCCTTAGCAAGGGTCTCTGCTTTTGTAATTGCAAACCAAAGCAGAAATTCTGCTAACAAAAGGCATTGACGGTAAAGAATGCTAACCTTTAAAATGTTCTCTGCTGGGTATGAGAAGTGTAGTGTTGTAAGAATAGTTTTCGATTCTCTGCTTGGAGAATGGGAAATGCACTGTCTCCTGTAGCCCTTTAGGTCACAGCTATGGTGTGCCCTACAATGTGGACACTGGCAAAAAATTTAGCTCATTGGAAAAAGGGGGAATTTTTTTCTTCAAAAATAGTCTTGAATGAATAACTGATAGCAATGGATTTTGGAAGGGATTAAAAAACAAACAAAAAAGTGTAAATATTTCACATTAAAGGAGGAGGGTTCTTCCTTATCTGTGCAAAAGAGGTCACTGGCTACAAAGCCAGAAACATCTCTGGCATGAGATACTAAGGAAGCTTCAGGCAAGGACTGTGGAGGTCAGACCCATCTCAGGACTTTGTGTTCCTGATAGCCTGATTTCTTTATGATGTGGGGATGGGCAAGGCAATTAGAGCCACTGAGTGGGAGCGGGTGCTCTCAAAATAGGAAGGAGGAGGAGGAGGGAAGGGACAGTCTGTGTCCCTGATGCTTGTCACGTCTCATTGATTATTCAATTTCCATGAAGAGTGACCAAGCCCTGTCCTTATTACACTAACTCCTAACTGTTTCCTGAATGGTTTATTCTCTTTTTTTTTTCTTGTAACCTTTAACTAGTGTGTTCCTAGACAGAAACAAGATAAGTATCTTGACACATTGTTGGTTGGGCATGTTAGGGACCTCTGAATAGAGTTTTTCTGCTGCTGCATGTGAAGTCTCTGCTTTTCTGTTTGAACTCTTTCACTGTGCTGTGTGTGAAGTTTATAGCCGAACCAGCTCCAAACCAGGGCAGGTGAAGAGTTGTTTTGGTGTATTTAAGCCATTTGCTCTTCCATAACTGCTGGCACTGCAGGCAGCAGTGTTGTTCAACCACTGTCTGCAGTCCAGCCCTGAGTATTTATACCTGGGGACTACGAAGCTTTTGGAACCTCCCGTTTGAGAAGTTTCTTCTTCTTGCTCTTAAAATGAGTGGGAGGAGAACAGGAGTGTCCATTGGTACACTTCCAAGGTGGGCTACAGACTTGGTGTATATATGTAAACGCTCCCTAATGTTAGTGATTGCATATGTATTTAATATTCTTTTTTAAAAATGTATTTGCATAAAAGAAGCCAAACCCATTCTTTCAGCCCTACATCGTTTCTCTCCACTTGTCCCAGTTTCAGTTTCTCATTTTTTGGTCTGAAAAGTTTACTCTTGGCTAAAATGTTCTCTGTTGTCTAAGGCAAATACTTTAGAAAACAATACCATTAGGGGAAAAGTTACAATTGAATCTCCTTTTATATGGAATTGACAATTGGAGGTTATTCAGGCTGGAAAAGAGAAGGCTCAAGGGAGACGTTGTAGCAGCCTTCCAGCAGCTAAAGCAAGCCTATGCAAAATCTTGAGAGGGGCTCTTTGGGGGGTTATGTAGTGATAGGAGCAAGGGGGAATGACTGAACTGAGAGTGTCAGTTTATATTGGCTGATGAGAAGAAATTCTCTACTCTGAGGGTGGAGAGGCACTGGCATGGATTGTCCAGACAAGTGGTGGATGCCCCATCCCTGTAAGGTTCCAAAACCAGGCTGGATGGGGCTTTCAGCAGTGTGGTCTAGTGGAAGGTGTCCCTACCCGTGGCAGAGGGGTTGGAAATAGGTGATCTTTCAGGGCCCTTCCAACCCAAACCATTCTGATTCTGTGATCTCCCTGGCTAATAGAGGCTATATTTCCCAAAGTCAACAGCTTGTTTGCTACTTCTGTTTCATTGATAACTAAATGACAGCTAATTAAAAATACCTAGAACCTTTCTGTGTACCTCTCAAAACAGAAACTGTAATAGATTGGCTAACTTCTCATTTTGCATGTAACAGTTGGAATAGTATAGAGTTATGATTGTATTTAAAGCTAAATGCTTCTTATTTCTTTTGGAGCAGTCATAGTTGCATATTTTATATTGACTGATAATTGGTCTTGAAGCTTTTTACATCTTGAATAATAATTGAATTTTAAGTCAGCAATTTTAAAATATTTTGTTTTCTTTTCTTTTTCTCATTCTCTGCCCTGCATCAGACCAGAGGAAACCAACAGAAGAGTGAAAAATGTAAGAGAGTTGCACATTAATTGTGATTAATTATTTCTAAATGCTTCTATTTATGGTACTATCATATTTACCTTATCCTTCAACTATTGATTTATCTGATGCAAATTAATGCCATTTTACAATGATCTCTATGTGCATCTTACTTTCCCAAATCATTGTAATAATCAAAACCAGTACTTACATCTGCTTGCATGAGATATATGAGATGTATCATGACACTCTTTGATTGGTTTTGGTAGCAATCACAGCTGATACTGTATGAAAGATTTTGCAGTGCATTGTGGAAACATCTCTAACAGCATGCTGAGATTCTTTTACACTGGCATGAGAGGAAAGTAAGTTTGTATTCAGGGGTTTTTTTCTGTTTGTTTTTAGGTTTTGATTACATTATACTGGCTTGGGAGAAAAGCTCAAATTGACCCTGATTATAATGGTCCATACCTCAATCTTAAAGCATTTGAGAAGTTATTAGGACAAGCACTGAGTAAGGTAAGGAATCCAAAAAAGGAAATGAAACAAATAGCCTGAATTTTATAGTTTGTTATACAGCAGCAATTCTAAACAGTCTCTTGAAGGCTTCATTTTCTTCTTAGATTGGAGAACATAGTAATTTGTTTTGCTTGCTATCAAGTTCCATAGGAAAGGAATGATTTTTAGCTTAGTTCTTCTGCTACCCATACGAATTTCAGAACACATCTGCTGTAATTCATGTGGTACATTGTGAAGAGCCCTATCTCAGTCCTCTTTGCTGAGATGAGAGAAATTTAAGACCTTTTACCAAGTCTCCTGTTGAAACTGTTGTTATGTGTTTCAGGGTTTTGCAGTAGTCTTTGTTGAAATTTGTTTATGAATTCAAAATGCTCATGAGTAGCATTTGCACACTAAATTATTGGAAAAGGCCTTTCAAAAGTGATTCTTGTAGGCACTTGAAGAGTCCAGCCAGCTGAGCAGAAGCGGCAGAGACAGTGGGTACGGCGATATTTGGTACGTTGACCGGGGAGAGCCTTTCTCATCTTCAGTTACTCATAAAAGAGACGATTCCTTTGATAGCTTGGACTCTCTTGGTTCAAGATCCTGCACAAGCTTTTCATCGGATATAACCTTGAAAGGTGGCAGTGAAGGTATGTTTTCCTCTCTAAAATCTTTTGTTGACTTGTATCTTATGAGTGTGAGAAAAGACAATGTATGGACCTAGTACTTGGATATCCAGTACTTAAAGTCAGTTCCAGTTTTGTAACTGTTGCAGTTGCATTTTGCGTAAGCAAATATTCACCTCTAACAGTTGGTAGAAAAAAAGCACTGCTCACACAGATCTTCCTCGGAAGGGTTGCTGAAACTCTTGCTCTCACTGGCACATTAGAGTGTGTGTATGTCCAGGGTATATTCCCAGAGTTCTGTAAGGGAAATTCCTAGAAATTATATCTGCATGGAGTTACCTAAAATTCACCAGTTGCACAAGTCGCTTACCTTGTTCTTAGGGCGACTGTGTCAAACTGCTATGTCTTTACTTCATTTGTGAATATTCAATAAGGTTTTTCCCACCTAGGTTAAACACTGAGTAGTATTTGTTACTTTTAGTAGTTTGTCATGAAAATAAAGGTAACAAGAAGATGGCGACATTGGATCCCTAAAGCAGTGCTCTAGCCTGTATTTCTCTGCTGATTTTAAAGTTCAATGCCAACTTGTAGTCTAAAGTCACACAAATTGTGAGGTTTTGGGTTTTGTTTCATGTGAGTAACAAAATCATTGAGCAGAGGCTCCATGGAGCATTGCTGATCTGTACAAGGCAACATTTAGCCATACTACATACCTGATGTACCCTGGGCTTCTAATGGATTTTAATCTGTGAAATGAGCACAATGCTATATTATTTGCTGTTTGTCTGTGTTAGTAAATTTATCTTGCAGATACTATTTAATTAAAAAATTTCTGTGCTGTTTTTTGTCTTCAGTCTGGAGGCCAGCACTTTGTTTCCTGCAGGGAACAGTGATAATGAAGGAATGGAACAAATGCAGGAGGATCATGCAAACCAAATTGAGTTTAATGGATCTTATCACAGCTTTGCCACAGACTTCTAAAAATACTTTTCTTACTGTCCTGTCAGTAGCTCAGCAAATTTGCAGCTGAAACATCTAAAATACAGACATAAATTGATTTTAGAAGACTTTGATCCAAGTTTTAGCTACGAGCACATGTCTGGAGAATGATGTTTGTATCTTCCCTTTTTATTTTCACTTTCTTCTAAGGTTGCGACAGTGACACAGACTCAGAACTGCCTTCCAAAATGCATGACTCCCATAAAGATGACAGGTCTTACCGCAGAATTTCTGTGATTGAACCGAAACCTACCACTGACTTCAATCGTTTCTTACCAAACAAAAACAAGCAGACAGCATATGTGCCAGCACCTTTAAGGAAGAAGAGGATAGAGAAGAATGAGGACAACAGGAGGAGCTGGGCAAGTCCTGTTTTCACTGAGTCAGATGGAGCATTTTCAAGGTACTGGTGTGTGGTCTTACTAAAGTAGATTTTATGTAGAATTTTTAAAATAAGTTACTTCTTTATTAGTTAAAGAAAAGTTGCTCTTGCTGCAATAAGAAGTCAAGTATTTGATTTTCCATGTTTTACCAAGGGGGACGTTTTGGTGTGGTTGTGTGGTTTGGTTTTTGGTTTTGGATTTTTACATTGTTTTTTGATGCTTGAGTAATTTTTTAAACTGGCCAGACTCCAGATGGTTTTGACTGCTTGTTAAAGCTTCCAAAATATAGTGATGAATTTCAGTTGTCCGGCTTCTTGATGCATACAAATGAGATTAGTGGGCAGTTCTTGAGTTTCACCATTATCTTCGTGACTTCACTATCTTCATTCTATTCCTGTCTCGGTCAACCTCAGTGGACGTGAAACGAATCCTGTAGCTTCCTGTCAAAATAGCAGAGCAGAGTGTGGGCTCACAAATCCAGCTTCCCTCCAGATCATCTCTGAGTATGACAGTGGCTCTGATTCAGAAGATGAAAGAAGGCTGCCCGACGTTGTTTTGGATGACTTAGCAAATCGTAGATTTCTAGTCAAAAAGAGCCCTGTAAGCTCTGCTGCACCTGGACATCATTTCATGTTGCGCAATGACTCTCCTAAATCTTGCTCGCAAGAAAGTTATCCAGCTGGTCCACTAGCTGCAATGCTTGAACCACTGAGGTCAGAGATACTAATCCAAGATCCAGTAACTATTGCGTTACCTAAATCGCAGCCCTTAAATAACTCCATAAAGTTAGTCTTCTAATCGGCATTTTAACACAGCTGATAATTTGATTTGCTTTTTCTGTCAAATTTTGTATTTTTGTCAGAGGAGATAGGATGCTGATATAACCATTTAACTTATTTTTAATTTTTTTTATTTAATCTATCTTATTGTTTCTGGTGCTGCAGTGATGAAATTGAGAACTAATATGCTTCATTCACAAGGCTGAGCTCCTGAGCCAAAAAGCATGTCTTTTTGCATTCCTTATGTCAAGTTGCTCCTAAAATATCTTAACTGATTGGATATTTTGAACAGTAACCAGAAGAGGCAGAGGCAGTTGGATACTAAAGAGGAAAACAAACCAAGAGCTAACAATCCTTCACAATTATCTGGGTATTTTGATGAGGACGAGGAAGAAGTAGGCATCCCAAACATTGAAAAAGATGATCTCTATTTTCGCAAGCTAAGTTCTTCAGCGCCAAATACAGTTGTTGCTTTTGACAAATTTCTTCCTAAGTTTTGGACTCCAGAGGAGGAATTGCTATGGAAAAAAATCAAGAAATCCTCTTTCAAACCCTGGTATAAAGAGATTCAAGGGTTCAGGTGCGTTTTCATGCATGCCTGTTCTCTCCTGTGTGCAAAGCCTAAAGTGTAGTTCTATGACTCTGAATTTTTAAATTTTCATTGCCAGTGTGGCAGCAGGATATGTTTTATTTTTTTTATTTTTTCTTTTCTCTTTTAATAATTGAAATATTATTTTTGTTATACTGTTGCACCTGTTGCACTGTTGCCTCTGTGCATTTTACTCAGTGAGTACACTTCATGTTTTTTTTCTTTCTCCTCTGCTCATTCTTTCTGCTGCTACACAGTAGAAAGAGATCAGATTCTGAGGATGAGGAATTTGCTTACAAACAAAGCTGTACCATTGTTGCTAATCAATCAAGACAAAGTTTTGACTGGAACAGTAGCTGCAGAAGGGATCAGAATTATAAGCCAACTGCTGAATATGTGGGAAGCTCATTGTCACAGATTGCAGAAGGAAAAATCTTGGAGTCTCCTGATCAGCCCAGGTTGATACTGCTGCATGAGCTGTTCTCTTGATGCATCAAAAAGAAATGCTGGATATGCAACAGCTAAATAAAATTAAACCACGTCCCGTGATGCTGTGCTTTTTTGGTTATTTCTGTTTTGCTGGGTTTGGGTTTTTTTCTCTTTTAATGTAGCCATAAGTTGCTGGCCTTCTGAAACGTGTAAATGTGAAAGTGTAACATGCTGCATAGGGTTACTGGCTTTGTGTTGTGAGCATGTCAGTGTGATGTTTCTGAGCAGGTTAGGATGCCGGGATACCTTTGCGTTGGTTGGCGTGTGCTGCGCTACGGTCAGTGGTGGTGAATGCCAAGTGGTGTTGTCATTCTGCTTGGGATACTGCAAGTCTAAACCAAATGTATATTGCAAAACGTTGTGATCTGCTTGTCTCTTGCTAGTTAATGATATTTTTACTTCCCTCCTTTTGTTTTATATGCTTCAGTCAGTTTTCGTTACTTCAGGCCCTGCAAAAATACACTGACTACGTGTCTTCTGAAACGGAGACCAGAATTGATCCCACTTCTGGCCCTAGGCTCATAAAATGTAGAAAGAATGTTTCCTTTATACCAGGAGGCAAGCAAGGAGATGAGGACAATGGATATCTATATCCAGATTTGGAGAATGATGATTTGTTTGTTCGGAAAACTGGGGCTTTCCATGTGAATCAAGTTGTTCTTCAAGACCCCCGTTACTTAAAGAAATTTTCTGAGCAGGAGCCTCCTCTAGAGGGTGAGATAATTCTGCAACCTAGAGAGGGCCAAACTGTGATTCCAGATTTGGAAAAGGATGACATGATTTTTCGTAAAGTCCTCTCTCAAAAAAAAGAGGTGCCTTTATCAGGTGCTCCTGACAAGTATCACCCAGCACTGTTTCCTGATCCATGGAGTCTTCCAGAAGAGATCCGGTCCAAATTTCTATGTTTACTTGAAAAAAATGCGATACCAGAGGAAAGGAAGAGCAATGGCAGAGTGCTGTCACCATCTTTACACCATAAGAAGGATGATATGCTGACCCGCAAGATTGAATCTTGGAAAGTGGGAAGCAATGTCCAGCCGGTAAATTTTATCCCAGGTCCATGCAGTGAAGAAGACTGGAAGAAGTGGGAAGCAATCAGGGAGGCCAGCAAAGTTAGACACAAGAAACGGCAGATGGTGGAGAGGTCAGGTTGTGTCCTGCACAGATTGAGTGCCCTTGAACCCTTCCCATTCAGAAAAGCATCATCCTGTGCTGAACCATTCGTAGAGTGCCAGTCTGTTTGTTCGTGTTGTCCTCGAACAGGCTTTTTATTTGCTTTGAATAGAAGCTCATGACTGCAATACCATATTTTCAACAAAAAATTATAAAGTTTTCTAGTTTTAGGCTGCCATTTTGGAGAAAATATGTTATCATTCCCCCAGGCTCAATGTTCTGCATAAGTTTCTTTCCATGGTTGAACAGAAATGGTGATTATTCAAAAGACTACGGAGTCTAGAAATATTTTGTTATATTCTACAAGATAATTTGTAAAAACATTTCTGAAACACATGAATGCTTTAAAGACGAATTCTGGAAATGGGCATTCTGATATTCTTGCTTGCACCTAAGTTTAAAAATGCTTGTAAACTGTTCTGCCACAGTTCTGAGATGATTAGATGAGGTGAAAAAAAAAGTGTTTTCATGGTGCAAGCAAGTGGTGGCTATGTAATATTAAAGTCCACCATGGCATATTTTATTCTGCCAATACTGTCCTCCTACTTTCATAAAGTCTCGATTCATTCTTTCCCCTAATTCTTTCCTGGTATCCTCAAAATTTCTCTTGTCTGACTGAATACTGCTTCTTAAGTGTTTCCTATCTCTCTCCTTTGAATTTTGTATTTACTGGGGGAGAATGAGGTTCCAGATGTTTACTTAGCTCTGAAAATACGGCATTGCAAATTGCAGATCTCCCAGCTGTGCATCATTATTTTGTGACTAAGACACTTCTGTGTTCCAGTTGATATTTTGATGTTGCTGCATTTAATTTTTAAGCTTAATACTGTTAACAAAGTTTGAGCTTTACTGAGAAATATTTTTGAAGTGCTTGGAAATATTGCATGTTTTAAAAATTCATTCAGTAGCATTAAATAGGTGTATTATAAAATACTCATATTCAAGAATACTAAAAATCCTCTTGAATTGACCTGGATTAGTTGTGTTCAGGGATTAATATGCTAAACTCCTATTAGGGTCTTTTATTCTGGTACACATCAAGTATTACTTTCAGTTAGTGTCAGAAATGGAGTAACAAGAGAACAACCTCTGTAAGCCACACTTTTTGTAGGGACTCGAGGTGGCATTAATGTTATTTTCTTGAAATGAGTCTCTTTTGAGCATCCTGCTGCTCAGCAGCTCTGGAATGAATAAGTGGTGTAGAAATAGCACAAGGCTTTATTTGTGCAGTACTGCTAAATGAAAAGTGTTGGAAACTTGCAGGCAACCTTGTTCTGACAGTTCTGCCCAACTTTGCCCATCATGCAAGTCCTGGTGTGTTTTTTGACTGGTGTCCAATTCCTGATGTGCTTTTCCATGCTGGCTGGTTCCCAAGCTTTCAGTTTCCCCATCACTTAGTGAGAGTGCTGGTCTACTAATGGTGTTAATGTTGTTATCAATATCAAGACACTGAATCTCTTTTTTTTGGTTTCTGATTTCTCAGACTTTTTCAAAAGCTTTCTGATGAGCAAGGGTAAGTTTTATAAAAGCTTGAAAGATTGTAATGCTATTTTTTTTGCCTCTTTTCATCTTTATGCATGCACAGTAGCTAAAAACTCATGCTGAAAACTTGTGCATGTTGCTTTGTTGTTCCATTCTTTGCCATTTATGTAATGAATGTGAGATAAAAGCTGTGTATATGGCAAAAGTTCTCTCTGCTGTCTCATGTATTCAACTTATGGTTATCAGGCACTTTGAAAATCAGCTCTAATGTTTTATTCCTGCTGAAGTGAAAAATTTGTTGTTCTGTATTTAAATTAGGCTTTAAAACACTCAAAAAGTGTAAAGGAGTATTAAATATTTTATTTTGAAGGCTGTACAGCTAGAATCTGAAAATAATTAACAGCAGTGGTATTTATCATGGGATTGGTGAATGGCCTGGGGTTATTTTATATCTTCCAGGTGGAAGATATATGCTCAGTGGTAAACTTATAGATTTGTGCCATGGGAAATTACATGTTGTTTATGATGAACTGCGACTCAAAGAGAAATATTTTTTTCACTTATTGTGTGATAGCATGTTAAGTATTTGGGAATGTATGGTGTTCTACTGATTTTTTTTTAAATTTAAATTTATTTATATATTTGCTTCCCTATTTTTACTCTGAGGCAAACCTGGTAAATTACTGAACACTTCCAGAAGTGAAAAATGTTTCAGAAGTTAGGTGTTAGGAGAGGGAGACTCAGAAGACTCAAGCCACTGTTTAGGTTTTTCAGTTTAGACTGAAATTAAAACTAAGATCCAGTTCCACGGTATGAATATACCTTTTCTTAGGTTATATCTTCTTTAGGTTGAGATTTTCCTGTTTTGTTGCAGGCAGATATAGTAATTCAAGAGAAAGAAGTGGAAATGGTAGTTATTTAAGTTTTCTTTAACTCATCTGGAACAAATTTGATACATCCTTATGTAGTATTTGGTTACCCTAAAACAGTTCTCTGTGTGATATAACTTAAGCATAAAAATGAGGAAAAGAACTGTACAAGAAAAGAGTTTCTGCAATAGCAACCAGGTGATTTTTTGCTGAATTTGGCACTCTTCTCATTCAGAAAATAGATACGCAAACAGACATGATGAGTTAATGCCCAAGCCTTTATTTCTAGAGGCCAGAGGCCAGTCTCATGTTACCAATGAAAATGAGTTCAGCCACTAGGGAGGAATTAAGAGTCTGGTTTGTTAGTTCAGAGATCTCTTGGAATGCAACAGATTAGAGCAAGGCTCCGTGCTGAATCTATTTTGGTTTTAATCTTATTTTCCGTCAAATCAGAGAAGTGCCACATTTTCAAGTCCTGCTGTAACTTAACTACATCCCTCTATATAACTCATACTTTGGATAAATGGAAACAAAGGTATTTTTGAATATTAAGAAACAAAAAAAAAACCCCAAGCCCTAGAGACCTAGCTTTCCCTTTTCCTTTTCCCTAGCATTATACCATTGAACCTTATGATGAAACACCTACATTTTGCTTACTGTCTCAGAGGCTTGTGGTCACATCTCATCAGGAGCCTGGTCCTATATCGAAACTAAATGTCCTGTTATGTTTATCACTGCAGTGTGAAAGAATAAAGGAAAACATAGCACGTGGTAGGGGAGAGTATGAAAGGTGAGCTTTGAGGAATTTAGGTTAAAGGGAACTAGCAAGTAGGAGTTCCTGGGGGAAATTGTAGTCATGTTGAAGATGTTAGCAGGAAGATGGCTGTGTTAGCCATCCCAACTTTAATGGAAAGCATCTCAGAGCCTTGGGGAGGATCAGCAATCAGCATAGGGGCCTGAGACCTCCATGAACTGAGCATTTGGCCGTGTGTGACTCTTAGTCTTTTGGAAATGTGCATCAGTAACTGGTTTGGAAGGAAGGAAAGAACAAGAGGTGATACAGGGGTTGTTACAGGAGAGAAGTCCAAGGGTGGGAATTTGGATTTGGGGATAGGGGATGCCTTTTCAGTCAAAGAAAGAAACGAGATCAATAAAGAGAATAGCAAGTTAAAACAAAAGTACCAGTGTTCTATGAGGAGCTCAATGTGAATGGTCAGCATGGAGATGTACAGAGCTGCTTATTCCCTTAACCTGATTTTATTTGCTCCAATACCCAGCTAATGACTTCCATGTTGGCACTACAGCACATCCCATCAGCTGCCCATGTGTTTCCTGCTCCATTCAAAATAACATTCATGAGCATTCAGTTGTACTAATATAAATCTTTTTCTCTCTCTGAAGGCTTCACTCGTGTAAATGAGGGCTAGGATGTTATAAAGCTGAGTTCTCTTTTCCCTTTCTAGGAGTAAATCTTTGAATGATGTCAGTGCAGAGGAGCTGCAGACACTGCGCAAAATCCGTTATGAAGAGCTGCAGAAGATAAAAGAACAGTTACAAGAGCAAGATCTAAAGTGGCAAGAAGTAAGGACTCCTTTTCACCTCTTCTTGTGCATCCTGCTTGATGGGGCCGGGTGTCACCTGCCTTCAGTGTCCCTAGTAAAAAAGCTTTGGCATGTGTGCAGCAATTCATGGGGCTGTCTTCTAAAACAATTCATCTCATGCAGCTACTAGAGTTTTTGGGGATGCCTGTTTAATGCAGAACTGAAATTATTTTAAATATCCTCCTAAGTTTCTGGTTAACGCTTCAGGATAAAACTTGTAGGTACTGTAATAAAGCCTTCAGGCTTGATTTCTCTGGACATAAAGAGAAGTTAGGGCATGTGTTATCTGCAATTTTTGAATACTTTTTTTGGAAAAATGATTGGAATGTCTGAGTATTTGATCCTCTGGGAGAAAGGGGAATAAATAATACTTCCTTGTGCAAATTCTTGAGGCTCCTATCCCCTAATAATGCTGTCTTAAATCCAGCTTGTAAACTGTATGGTAGCTTTGCACAGCATCATAAGCATATATAAAGACTTTTCAATTTATTAAAATCTCTGCTTGACAAGAGTATCAACAAGAAGCCGAAAATAAGAACAAAGCACCAAACTAGAAGTTCATAGTTGTTTGTTTAATGCATCTCAGTTCTAATATTCAGTACTTCCCTTAACTCAGCTCTGGTATTTCATGGACAATATTGCCAGTTCATATTGTGGTTTTACAGAAATGAAGAATGTACAGAAATGTCTGTTTTCAATTTAGAATTTAAAACATATTTATTCTCAATCCAGTGTATCAGTCTAACATAGTAGTGATTTGGAAAAATAATTACATACTAAACTCTAAAGCCCTCAACAAAGAAGTACAGATTGCATTTGCATTAGTTTTCAATGATGTGTGATTGGTGAAGTATTTTAGAATAAAATTGAAAATGTTAAGAGGAGAAAAAATGGGACAAATTGCATATAGTCCAGTAATTATAATTTTTAACTTAAGGAGGCAGTGAGCCGGCAATCCTGACTAGAACATGACATGACAACCCCTTTGTCATTTAGGGGAAAGGTAGATGAAAATGTGGCTGTGATGCAGACACGCAAATAAAATCAGGCCAATAAATAGCATGTAATGGGATGCCTCTGTAAGTCTTTGAGGCCTTGAGAAAATCTGATGGTATACATTCTTGTTATTCTAAACAGGATCTAGCAAAATGGAAGAGTCGTAGAAAGAGTTACACTTCAGAATTGCAAAAGAAAAAGGAAGAGAGAGAAGAAATTGAAAGGAGGGCCTCTGAGGTGTCTGGAAGGAGTACCAAGTCACTGAAGGAAATGCAGCAGGAGAGGTAATAATCCTAATGGGAGTATTATGTGTACGTATTATGGGAGTATTATGTATGTATTTATTTCTTTAAATTTTTGAGCTGCTTTTACCAACAAGTTGCAATTGATTGTGCAGAGATCTTGACAATTTTAGTTGCAAAATAAAATGTAGAAATCTAGGCAATTGAAGGGCTGAATATGATTTTCTGATGTGCTGTTTGCACGGAATGTTAAACAATTTTCTCTATAAATGCTATTTTACTTTGCTATCCATAAATAAAAGTATTGAGAAATCAACATTTGCATTCTCTTTAAATTAGTTAAAACAATAGCACTGAACTGGATAGCTGCCATTTTTACTCATGAATAAAGTTAACTATTTATCTTTCTTCTACCACTACATTTGCCATTTTTTTAGCAACTGGGGAGGACTGCAGCCAGAATTTAAATTTATATCACAGAGCTGTAAACTTTTACTTGATTTCCCCTTCATCCCTAATTTTTCCTCTTGGTATTTACTTTCTGGTACACTGCACAGTACCATCTCTAATGGTGACAGTCTTATTTATTTATCTATTTATTTCTTTATTTCAAATGCACATATGACTGAGCTGAAGGTAATATACACACGACATGTATTCATATTTAAAAAAGCCTAATATTTTGGATTTCTTTTTTTTACTTATTTGTGAGGACAAAAATTAGTTGCTTGAATAAAAGTATGGTTGCTAATTGTATTGAATGTTCAGCACCAATAAGAATCCTATAACTGTTGTTTTAAAGATTATCCTTGTAGCGTTGTTCATTTGTGACAAAGGAATGAATAGCAAAAAAATAATAATTGGCTAAATTTCAGGGCACTGTCTTATTTAGGTATCTAAAATTCAGCATAGCATTTCAGAAATATTGAGCACAGTTACACCGTTGAAATAGTCCCATAACACTATCTTATTCCTGTTCTTTCTGAAATAAATCTGAATTTCTGAGGATGTGTAACTTGAACATTTGTGTATCTGTATCATTTACAGCTATGTGTAGCTAGATCATTTTCTTGGCAAAGATTTCTGTCATGGTGGCAGCCTGATAATATGATAGTAGTATGTCTGAGTGCTATAAGAGTGCTGAACTGGGGAGGAGGTGGAAGAAGATAGATTAAAAGATACATTAAAATACTAATATATTTAAATGATGCTATAATTTTAATTTACTGGAGATGCATTATTTGGCTTATGCTCAGCCTTAAACAGTTACTAATTGAAAGACTTGAGGCCTGCCTGTTTGCCAAGTCAATTTGGTATTTTAACAGGCTCTATTCCCATAGGGAAGAGAGAGATCAGGACTCCTATGAGCAGCAGAAACAGGAACACAACTGGGCGTATTCACTGAACGATGATGTATTTGGTGAAGAAAAAGCACCTTCCACAGCAGCAAAAGATTGGTCAGCAGCCAAAGATTACCGTTTGGAAGAAGACACTTCCTACAGCACTAAGGACAGTAAAAGTGTGTCTGCCACCCGGCCGCCCAAGGAGAACCTGCCGGAGAGCTTGGCTGCTCGAGAAGCTCCTGCTCCTCCAGAGAGCCTGGAGCGGGAGCAGAGCCCGGCACTTTCGTCCACTCGTTACTCAGTGAATGCTCAAACTGGGTCAGCTCAGGTTTCAGCTTCTCTCCCGAGAACTTACCAGAAAACTGATACCTCCAGGTTAACATCTGTGGTTACACCAAGACCTTTTGGTGTCCATTCAAGAGGAATCTCGTCACTTCCACGGTCGTTCACGGTAAAATTCTGCTTCATTCCTGAAGTTTGTAAATTTGGGGTCTTCCAATAGCTGGGAGAACAGTAGTTTTAGTGTTTTGTTTTGTTAAATAGTGCCTCCTGTGTGATGAAGGCTGTGTTAATAGAGCAGGAAGTTCTGTCGTGGCTGTAGATGTTTACTTGTGTTTCTGTGCTTAAATGCACACCTAGAATTAAAGCTGGTAACTATATTTGGTAAAATATTCTTTTTATTACTTGTAGTAAGTCTCCTTTGCGTGCTTTATCAAAAAACTGTCACTGGAGGTAATTATCTGGAGCCAGGTTAACATAATTAAGTGTTAAAGATCAATTTTTCAGGTGATAAAAGTTTCCTCTGCTCTGCTGACTTTGGTGAAATTTTATGCTAGACTAAATTTTGTCTACACTCTAATGCACTGAAACAAAGAAACGGATTCCCCCCTGCCCCATTACTATGATGATTTTCATAGTTTTCTCCTAAATCCTTATTTGTTTAAATTTAAAAAGTGGTAAGAATGTAAATAATTCTAATCAGATGACTTTAACAAGTTTATCTTAAGAAGTCTGGACTATTTGTTCTGCAAGTATTTCAAGAGAAAAAAATAAATTTTTTTATGTAGGTAGTTAACAATGGGTACAGGAACCAGAATTTGCTTCAAAGGGGGAGGTGGTTTTGTTAAAAATAAAAATCACTGAAAGATTTAAGGATTTCTTTTTTTAAAGCACTTATTTACCAAATAAAAATTTGTCATTTTTTTCCTAGATGGATGATGCTCAGAAATACAATGGAGAAGTAGAAAAAGCTAAAAGAACTCAAACTTTGTTCACCAGCATTTCCTTTTCACAACCAGACTCTGCACACCCTGTCTCCACCGGTGCATTCAGAAGCAGAGGTGAGGAGGAAGAGGAGGAAAAAGGTGTTCAGTCAACACCTCCTCTTAGTTTGGCATTACCTTTAAAGTCCCAAGACCAAGATGCTGGAAGTAGTATTCCTAAGCCAGAGTATGGCAGTCCTCCTGATTCTCTTTCACTTGCATCTTCTGCAGAAACTGCCAGTCTGACAGAGCCTAAGGATTCAAAATCCATGGTAAGTGTGGAAATAGTGTGATTACTTGGTGTAACTGAATGCCACAGCAGAATAAAAGAAAAAATAACTAAAAGTACATCTAATACAAGTATTTTTCTCGTACTAAGAGGACATCTCAGAGACTTGCTATTTCCTTTGATTTAATTTAAGGAAAAGAGAGTATTTGGGGAAGAAAAAATTATACTTTTGCTGAATTTTTCCCTATCTATTTTGTCATGTGCTTAATTTTATTTATCCTTCTAATTCAGAATAGTTATTCTACATATGTTTAATGCTTGCAAAGTTTTTTGCTATTCTCCAAATTAGCACACTGTTCATATAATCAGGTGTGACAGTTAGAGGAATTATCTGAGCTGCTGTAGCATTCATTTGCACTTTTAAACTGGTGGTGGAAAATAAAGGTCAGCTTTTCAAAGGCTGGCCATAAACATGAGTATCACACTATCCTTTTTTCCATCTGTTGTGGCTTGGATTTTTTTTTTTAGTTATTTACTTGAATCTAATTAATGTTTCTGTTAATTTTGAAGTAAATCACCATCTCTTTTTGCATGTGCTTATTGGACAAAGGGCTGGGTCTTTCAGTGTTCTTTTTGAAATATGTATCTTAAGTGTTGTTTCCTCCAACTGTTTACATGTTTCACCAATAGCTTTAATTTTAAATTACTAAATACCTTTCTGTACTATCTGATGATTCAGTTCATAACCCTTAACAGATTTGCATTCCTGATCCTGCTGTAAAACTTAATTGTGCCAGTTGCTTGGGTGAAGGTCATAAGACCTTGGATGCTGATTTATGAAATCACTTCCCATAACAACTCTTAGAAATTCATTTGCTTCCAAACATTCTTCTTCCTAATCACTTGTGGAAAAGAAATACACTGCAGTTTAATACCCTTAATGCCTCTTGGCCATTGTAATGAATTTATCATAATTTTTTGAAACTGTGATTCCTGTATAAGGAAAGAGATCATGATCTTTTTGTTTCCTATGTTGTAGCAAAAACAGCCAGAGGAATTTCTGTTGTAATCAGTAAAAACTGACAGATTTGATATGAGTTCTTAGTATCTGTTTAAGCAAGGCAAATGAGAATAGCATGTACTAGGTCCATTTGTTCTTCTGCTGTCATTAGTTAAAAGATTATAAATTTTTCCTCCTACAATTGAGTAATATGGGGTGGAGAGGACATTTTAAAGATATTTTAAAAAGTTGAAAAAATCTCAGTCGTATTATGTAACTTACCAAGCTCCAAGTTAAGGAATGCAAGTTCCATTTGATATGTTTGTAAATCATTGACAGAGAGATTGATATAGCTCACTAGTCATCAGGGCCATGACACCAGGTCTGCGGAGCACTGTTTTAGAGATGACCTATAAAAGTGTTAAAAGTTCAGTGTACAAAGTCACATTACTTCTCTGACAAGAGGGGGATCTGAAGAGTCATGTTGGGATGGTGAGAAAAAAAAAAATAAGACCAGTAGCAATTTCCAGGAACACACTCAAACTCTAAAGTTTTATGTTCTCTAGCCCAGTGTGCTAACCTGTTCAGTAGATTCACTTTTAATATACTCACCTAAGGGCTTGGGCTGTGTGGGAGCATTTGCAAGCCAGTAGCTGCGTTCTGAAGAAAAGACTTAATTTCTACCCTGGGCTGTAATGGGGAGTGTTTTCCCAGGAACATTCCTGTAACATGAGGTGATACCTTGGGACGATGCTGTGCTCTGTTGTTTTCTTCTCTATCCAGTACTTGGGGGCTGCTGAAACCACCTCTGGCTGCACCTCCCTGAGACTGCAGTTGGCTGCACCTGCTTGTGCAGTGCTTGCTGTAGCTGCCTGTTGCATCTTACAACATAGGAGCTTAGAGGAATTGGCATAGGTTTCTAGACTTTTAAATATTTTAAGTTAAGGAAAATGAATCCGACTCTTCAGGAAGGCTGGGTCGCTAGGGAACCAAAATGTAGGCGTACATTTAAAGCATGTGTAAAAATGTGCAGGGTCCCTTCCACTCACATTTTGCTGGAATATATCTATCTTAACATTGTTTGACAGAAAAATCTACTTTTTTTTCTTTTGTATCAATGTCAGTGTCATGCTCATGAAGTGTGTAGCATGCATTTAGGTATTTTAGTAGTTTTTAATGAGCTCACCTTAGAATGTTAATGTATGCAACACATGCTCCAAATGTAGCGTGGGATTGAAAGCAAGTGTTACAAAATGTTTTCCCATTCAGATATTCTTGTTTTTTTAAAATGGCCATATTAGAGTTTGATTCAGCTTTTGAAAGCATCTTGAAAGTCCATTAAAAGCAAATATCTGAATTTAGCTAATTTTGGGATTATTTTTATTATCCAAGGCCTCTATTACAAAATCTAGAGCAAGCTGGTAGTATTTCACACAAAATCAAGAAGATGATTGTGCACCCAAGTAAACCTAGTTGCAGCATGAACCTAAAATGATGATTCTTATGGTAACATATGCAAAAAAAAATAATTATTATGGTTATCTAGCTTTTTCACGTCTCTGATGCTCTCTGAGGAGGCGGTACATTTCACAAATTCAAAGACAATCCACAAAGAATCATTTAGGGGTTTAATTTCCTCCAACTTCTTAAATTTTTTTAGCATTGTGTTGCAAAACATTTAAAATAACAGAAATGCAGAGTGAAAGATATGTGTAGAGAAAATATAAATGTAAACTGAAAACACACCTGTTGGTATAAAAAGCAAACGAGTTAGTTAACTGACTTCAATACTGTTTCCTTTGTCTGCGATGCTAATAATAGATGATTAAAGTGCACATTGTGAGCAGCCTCACTTATTTAGAGGATAAACTTTCCCTCATTTAGATTCCTGTGATACCAGATACTGTAGTGTCATGTTTTATTTTTCAGGAGCAGTACAGTGAAATGAGAATCAGTATAAACCAGAGACCTGGCCACAGTCGCAGCTTTGGGTTTACAACAAATTGGAGTTCTTCAGGAGCCATTGTACAGACAGTTGAAGAAGGTAAATGTGTATATATACACAAATTTTTCTTCTTATGTTTAATTTGCAGAGGCTTCTAAATTAAGGAATTTTCTGCTAAGAATGCTGCAAACATTTTAAAACATCAGGTGCAGAACTGAAAAATCACTATTTAGTTTGCTAATGTATTTCCTCATCTCTTTAAACAGTTTGAATGCAGAAATAACAAAATGCATTTTCCTGATCAAGGAGGGTGTAAACATGAATATTTGCTCACCAAGCCTCTTACAGAACAGTATTTAGGGGCAAATGCAGACTTCCAATATCCAGACTGTTTCTTACAGCTAAGTTTGAAAGATTTCACTTCACATGGTTTGTAAACACTTGCAGAGGAAACTTAGGAGTTAATACTCTTTGTTCATTTTCTGCTTTCTTAATCATGCTGAATTCTGGAGGCAGTTCATATTCTTAAGTAGTTGCAACTTCTAAATTGATTTCCAGTGTAGTTTTTTCAGTTGTTTTAATACTGAAGGAAAGCAAACATTTTTGTCTTGAGATGACACATATATAAAGTTTATTTCTAACCTTTAATAGTCTTCTGCAGAGAATGAGCTCAATTTAAAAAAAAAAGGCAACAAAACAACAAAAACCTAAGCAAATCACATATAATTCTTGTTTTATAAACAATGTTCTTTCCCATTGCCAGTAATACTTGAGGAATATTGAATTGTGCCCTTCTTTCCACCTAACACACGATCATCCTGAGAAAGAAGAAATAACTGGAAACTTTTAATTTAGTTAGCCCTGTATTATGCTTTCCAGAGAGGAAACAATACTGTTTAACAGCAGTTAACAAGCAGTCTTGGATTTTTTTTTCTTTTTCAAATTCAAGAAGTGAAGTGGCCTTTTTTCACTATATCTGAGTACTTTTCTTAATTAGATTTGCTCTAGGATAATCCTTGAGCAGAGAGGATGGACCAGATGAACCACTGTGGTTCCTTCCAACCTGTTTCATTCTGTGATTCTAGAAATAGTGATATTCACTTTGCCTGAAGAATAACTTTCCCTTTGCTTTTCCTGCTGCTAGGCTTCGAGTTTAATTTCCTTCCTTGGAGGCAAGGGTCTGTCCATTTCCACTGCCATTCACAAAAGACCACATGGGCTCTGTCCCAAGGAAAGGTGAAGGCCTTGTGGTTGTTATCTTGGTTATGCTTTATTACCATTCTCACAAGGAAGAGCACAAAGTATAGATTTAACTGAGATTGGGCTGTATCTCAGTGTTCTTGTTTGTAGCCTGTGTTCAGCACTTTTTTCTTCCAACAACTATCTCATCTTGTATCCTTACTCCCTTTAAAGAAATGAGGGATGAAAGAGGCGGATTACCCATTGAAAGAGTATTATATGCTTTCAGCTAGGCACTTGGGAATGTTGTATTTCCTATTTTTAAGGATAAGTCATAGGATAATTCAGCTGTCTCATCTTGTATCCTTACTCCCATTAAAGAAATGAGGGATGAAAGAGGTGGATTACCCATGAAAGAGTATTATATGCTTTCAGCTAGGCACTTGGGAATGTTGTATTTCCTATTTTTAAGGATAAGTCATAGGATAATTCAGCTTTGAAGATCACCTAGAGCAATACACTGCTCAAAAAAAGTCAAGATGGAATTCAGACCAAGTGGCCTAGGGCTTTTTACTCATAGGGGTTTGAGACCCTCTGAGAATGGAATCCACACAGCTTCTCTGAGCATTATCCTCTCAGAGAAAATTTCCCCTACGTATATAGTCAGACCAGTCTTTGTCCCAGTTTATAACCACTGTTCTGTGTTTTACAGCCATAAATTTCAATAAAGAGCAGGCTTTTCCTTCTCAGAGACCTCCTGGTATGTACTGGGTGGTGGTGGGGGCCTACTGTTAAGTTCTCCTGCAGCCTCTCTTCTCCAGGCTGAACAAGTCCATACTCTTCAGCCTTTCCTCACTGGTGATAGCTCCAGCCCTAACCATCCCAGTACCTTCCCATTTAACTTGCCCCAGTTTATTGATGTCTCTCTTACAGAGGAGCACCAAAGCTGGACACAGTATTGTCGTTTGGCATAAGAGGTGCTGAGAGAATTGAATGGCCCTGTGTCTCGATTTGTTGGTCATGTTAGTGTTCCTACAGCCCCACCACTGCCAGGGCTCCCCCAGCCTTGCTCTCAGCCCTGTACCATCACTGGGATTAGTCCTTTTCAGGAGCAGGACCCTGCATGTGGCCTTGTTGAGTGTCAGGTTCCTGCTCTCAAGAGCAGCCCTGCCCTCCATTGTACTGGCCACCCTCTCACTTTTGGCAAGGTTTGAAAACTTGATGAGGGTGTGTTTTCCTCCTTCTCCTGCTTATCGGTGAGCACATTAACGAGGGTAGGTCCCTGGATACATCCTCCTGATCCACTTGTGAGCAGCATGCGGGCTGAGTAAGAGCCATTAACGACTTCCCACAGAGCCTGACAGCCCAGCCAGTTTTCCACCATCTGGTCGTTCTGCCCTGTGGGCAATACCATCCTGCTTTTGATACCAGGATACTGTGGGATATCATGTCAATGGTCTTGTTAAAGACAAGGTGGATTGTAACCTCTCTTCCACCATCCACAGAGATTTAGTCAATTCATCATTGCAGATAACCAGCTTGGTCAAGTGTGATTTAGGCTTGGCAAATGCAAACCAACTGTTCTAGTCACCTTTTTCTCTCTCCTGAGTGCAGAAGAAGCTTCCAGGAATACTTTTTCTGATATGTTGTCTTCCTAACTAACTGTAGAATTTTCTTGAGATGATACCCAGCATGTATATTTTTTTACTACTTACAGATGACTCTTAAAAAATTCCTTAAAAAATCTACTAAGAAAACTACTTGATAGGCAATATTAATTTATAAGTATTCTCAAAAACCTAAGTAAGAGTTAAGCTTGTAACACAGTGAGACCCATTTATTACATATAAAAAAGGACAGTTCTCATTTTTAAAGGAGTTTTCAGCCTTTACACTAAAAATTAGGTAAATAGAAAGCCTTAAGTCATCAATCTAGACATTGTTCTGCCAACTTCCCCAGTGCCATATAATCTTTATTGTTTCAGTCCTTCCCCTTTCACTTTCCCTTTGCAATATTTTTTTGAGACTGTGTTGATATAGGAGTGCATGTCTGATCAAACACTTGTAGTCATGTAAGACAAAGTAAATTTGATCCAGATTCTTCAAGTTTGTTTTTTTTTTTAATCATTGAGATAGTGTTTATCTATTGTAATAACAACAGATGGGGATAGGTTAGAGATAACTTAAAACATATAGAAAATTAGTATTTGGTTGTTTTTGTTTTTACTGGGGACTAGTAAGAATGAAAAGCCTTTTACCTTCAGGAAAACCTATAAAAACATAAAAGCAGTACATATTTTATATAATGAAAACAAAATTCTTTATAGGAATATACAGGAATTAACTGCTCTAGTCTTGGAGGAGCTGGACATGGGAAGAGAAATGGTAGCATACAGCCTTTGGCATCTGAATTTTTGAGCAGGCTCTGTGGGCTTCTCTGGATGTGAACCAGAGCAGAAGCCCACTATAGGCACTCTGGTCTGCCCTCTTGAGAAGCCCTTTTGTCCAGGGACTGTGGAGGAAGAGCTGCTGGCAAAGTTACAGGCCAAAAAATGAGCACTGTAAGTTGTTCTGGCTATTTTAGGTCCAGATCTAGAGACTGCTGCTATTCATTCAGTCTGTATGGTTGGAGTATGGTCTGCATATACCTTTCTACTAACGTTATAGGAGGAACTGTGAAATCTTCAGCTCCCTTCCTTTCCTAAAACTGAGTCAGCCGAGGTATACTGTTCACACCTCTGAGCCCAGTCTCATCCCTGACAAATTATTTGAATAAAATTAACACAACCTTTTTTTGGTTACTGGGGGCTTATTCTGTCACAACTCAAGACAGAAATTATCAGGAGATGTAATGACTCTGGACCCTGTATCATGAGCATAAGGCTTAATCCAGATGTGGTTAACCTGTTTGGTACTAAATATCAGACATGATTCTGAATGTTGCATGATATTGTCGAAATTAGTAACTTCAGTGTTAGTATCTTTGATAGTATTCTTAATAATACCTTCCATTAACAGACTTGAAAAATCTGTGATTCTTTAATGTCTTCCTGACCCCTAGACATGCATATTTTTTTCCAGGTAAACTGTTGTCCATTCCTTCAGATGAAAACCCTACCTTTTATTCCACAATACAGTTTAAAAGCAATTAGTACTGATAACAGCAAATGAAGTTTTTTAGTCCATATTTTAAGAATGATGCAGAAAGATATAGTATGGAGCCATGTTCTTCTAGCAGAGATGCCAATGGAGATTTTTAGTGAACTATGATGAATCATTATTTGGTGCAGTACTAGGAAACAGCATTTCTTAATTTCTTAACTTCCTCATGTGTGAAGCCATCTGAATCCTTAGTGGATGAGCCAGACTTACAGCAGCATTTTACTAACGAGTCAAAAGACACTCAGGATGAAGCATATGGTGTCTAAATTTTTCTGTCATACTTGTCAACATTTATTTCTAATAATGTAATAGGGCATTGTTCTTGGTATATTTTAAGTAAGGTGTGTGGATTTCACTACTTTGGAAAATCCTTCCACTGTGTAATTCAAACTTGTTTTATTAAAGTGAGGGTTTATTGTGCAATCCTTAACTATATTTTTACTTGGCTTTTCTATTTTCTGTTCTGCTAAGGGAATAATTCTTAATGGCAGAACCATTCCTATGTAATCTGTAAAATCTTGCTTGGAGAGTCTGAGTTTCTCAGCTCATCCATTTTCCGAATTAAATACAGAAAAAGTTTATGGACTGGTCTTCTATGTACTCTGTCCTTAGTCTAGTGAGATTGCCTGCCAATGTGTAGCAGATGAAAAAAGTATAAAGTGCAGCTTGTCTTGCAAAATATCAGTAGATTCAAAGTCCAACTTGCCATAAAGTTTGCCCTTAATAGATAAAATAAGTAGAATCCAGAGAAGTCTAGTGGGACAATACCCAGCAATATCTTGAGTCTTATTACCAATCCATTCAGAGCTAATAAACTATTTTAGCAAAGCAATAAAGCAGCATACTCTTGTCAGCAGAGCTCAGAAAATGTAAATGAGAATATGAGAAAGCCAGCTTCTACTGGACTTAACAAAGTGCAAGCTGTTTAGTTTTTGGGGGGTTTTTTTTGACAAATAAGAGGATTACCCAAACATTGGCTGAATTTCAGCTAATCATTGGATATAGACATTGTGGGGCTGCCTCACTCTCACTATCACAGATTATAAAGGTGAGTTAGTGAAGGGAAGACTGAACACAGAGGTTGTTCATTAAATGGGGTGACCATAATCTGAAACTTACAAGTCCGGAACACTGATTTCTTTTTTTGTTCCCATAAGTTCTAAATTGAAAAGCTGCTTTGATACTGAGTTTACTGAGCTTATGTTACAGTGTAGTGAATTTTTCTAAGACTTTCTAAATATGCACCGTTAAGCATTTCTTTGAATGATTCCCCAGTCCACTCTCTTCCAATCACAACTGCGATAAAAAGAAAAAAATATGAATGGAGACATAATAACATTTTTCTTCTGTTTCCTGCAGGCAGCCCTGCAGCACTTTGTCAGCTGCACGTAGATGATGAGATCATTGCTGTCAACGGCACAAAGGTTTCACACATGGACTACAGTCAGTGGGAAGAAGCCATCAGCAGAGCACTAGAAACTGGAAACCTGGTCATGGATGTCAGACGATATGGAAAGAATGGTGAGTTGTTTCGTCAGGCAGATACTGTATGCTCTGTAAGGCAAATAAGCTTTGTCTCTGCTGTACCTGACAGCTGAGAGTCCTTATTACCCTTACAGCAGTAATACGTATCTAAGCTGAGTAGTTTGCCAACGTGTCTGTTGCATTTTAACACAACTTGGCTTTTTTAACTGCTTGAGCATTAGAAATGTCTTGACAAGCAAATCTGCAAAACATTGAACTACTGACCTCACTCTTGTGCTCTGGCCTGTTTCTTAGAGGATGGACAGGTTAAAAAAGTGTGCAACCAGCACAAAAAGGAATGTAACATTTTCTTCCCTTCCATACCATAAGAATTAAGAGGGTCTGATATCTAGAGGGTCTGATCACTAATTTTTAAAGGCCCTCTCTCTCAATCAACAGCTCCCTTTCTTCAGGGAAGGAGGATCTATTGTTCCTTTCTTCAGGGAGCATTTGAAATGAGGTATAAGCTTGTGGGTGGTGCAGTACCTGTGTGTTATGATTCTGGCCATTGACCCAAATATGGTGGTGCTGTAATCTCTCCAGAATGGTACTCCCCATTCTGGGTAGGGAGGGTTTCCATCCTGGCTTGGCAGCCTAGTAGCATGTCTTGATTTGCCATGGTTTTAATCAGGAAATCCTTTCAAAGTTCTAGAAGAATTTTTGCAGAGTTAGAAGTGTGACCAGTGACTTTTTTCACAGTATAAATACAAAACATTCTTTTAGTGGGAAGCTAGGTAAATAAGTTACCAGCAAACTGGGATCAAAACAGTGGGGTTAGGAAGAGACAAGGAACAAATCACTTCATAGGACGTAATAAAACTGAAGAGTGTGATTAGTGACAAAAAACTAATTGAATAAAATTTTCAGTGGGAGGGGAGATAGGATGGAGTATGTGAGAAGAGCATCATTTGTCTTTGCCTCATCAATTTGCCAGTTTAGTTTAGGCTGCCTTTTCTTCTCCCTCTCTGTGCTTCCTGATGAGCATGGACATGAAAATGACCCTTCCCTGGATAGTGTATGAGTCTCATTGTACCTGGAGTGAGTAAAGTTGGAAGAATTTTCTCAATCCTTACTAACACTAATGAAATAGTTTCCAATGAATGCTAACTCCTCTCTTATGTTCAGCTGCTGTAGCACATATCAGCAAAACATCTTTGTTTTGGCAAACTTTTACCTGGCTTATGACTAACATTTGCATTTGTGGGGAAGGCGGTCTGCTATAAATGCCCTTTTTCCTGTCTTCACAAATTCCACCTGATTTGTGTGTCTCCCTCTTCTGTTTTTTTGTTATTTTAATGTTTTCACTAGCTCTTGTTCTGTTCTTTGACGTTACTGTCTATATTAATTTCTTGATCCTCCACATACCAAAAAGATTGGGGCAAAGACCTGCCTTCCCTGCCACGTGTAAGGCATAAAATCCTCAATCTCACCAGTATGGGTACCAACATTATAGGTACATCTGAAAATAAATGGATTGATGCAACTTCGGGAGAAAAACTTTCAAATGCTTCCACCACATCCACAAAAAGAGATTTCTCCAGCAGCCTTCAAAGCTCTGTGAGTATGTTTTTGAAGGTTTATGGGAGAATGGGGGGAGGAAGAAAAAATGTAGTGTCTTGATAGTGGGAGGATGGAGAAAAGAACTTGTAAATCTTCTGTTCTTTAAGCAATACAAGTATAGGACCCTGCATCTGAAATATGGAGATGTAGTTATGTAAGTATTAAGGTAAATAAGATGTTTTAAAGACTTTCTACTGTCTATTCATGAGAGAATACTGGTGAATGATAAATATTAAAACAGGTGCAGACTGTCTTTTGACTAAAACCATATATAATGTTTGTTCTTTAGAGAAGACTTTGACCTGAATTTTTAGCCTAAATGGAAGCTGCAGCCTCAAAGAACAGGTGCATATGTGCTTTCAAATTTGCAAACTTGCAAATAAAACCTTCCTGCCAAGGAGCTGAAATAGGAAGATTTTGACTTCTGGAATTTTCCTGCAAGCTAATGTGCTTTATTTCTGCAGCAGTTCACAGCTAGTTATTGATTCCCTCAAATGCATGCAGTAGCTTTATTATAAATTACACTGAGGAAGTTTTAGATTGTTTAGTATCTTTCTATAAAATATTATGAAGTGTTTTGTGACATATAGTTCCTGATAGGAAAGATGCATAGCTGGATAAACTTCCACAAATCTAATGAGGCTAAGACATTTATGTATTCATTCATTTATATATTACAGGATACAGAAACAAAATTGATAAATGGAATGCAAGGAGACCTTGGCTCTAATGAACAAAGAGGTAAAGCACTGTTGCTTTTCATCTGCTAATTGTGTGGTTTGCGACAAGCACAGACACGAAGCCAGTAATGACTGGGAGCGTTACACAGCGGGTGAAGTGAGACCTTAACAAGCCAAAAGCCAGACAGATATCACAGAGATCTTGTTGCATCCAAACTGGGTCTAGCTTGCTTCCACAGTTTGTCAGGCAGTTTGAGAACTGTGACAAAGCTGCCTGTCTCTGCATTAGTGGTTGTAAATGTAATGTGTGGTAGGGGTGAAAGAGAAGAAGGCACACCATTTATTGTAATTGTTACTGCATTGTATGGTGACTGAGTTAGTATGAGTATTGACTTATTTCACTACCCAGGAAGAATGAAGAGTACTCAACTTTTCTCCTGCCTCTTTCAGTTGTAAGGTTTTGGGGTTAGTGGCTGTTTTCATTATTATTATTTTACTTGTATTCCCGGGGAACAATATTGATGATTCTGATATGAATAATAATTGCATATGAGGCTATGAGCAGTTACAACCTTACTTGACAGCAGTGAGAGAAACCAGGTACGTATACTTCCTAATGGAATAATAATCCTGAAGTAGGAGCTTTGTATTTCATTTTAGCTTGAATGCCAATTAATAGAAAAATTCCTCCAAGATAACACTTGCCCTGTGGAGATGTTTTGGTGGCCTTGAGTGATCATTAGACTCCTCATTTCAATTCAGAATTCCAGTCAAGGATGGTTAAATCGGACAGGGAGAATCTGAGTCTGAGTTTGACACTTCTGCTGTTTTTATAATTGGACATTGTTACTGACAAAATAAAATCCTAATTAGTATATGATGTAACCTCCTAAGGTTTTCCTTTGTGTTTCAGGGGCTTTTTGTTTTTCAGAAGTGATGTTGCAGTGTATGGGAGGTCTAACAGAAACTTCTTATCCAGTCATTATAGTCATTAAAAAAAAGGCACCTCATTGACTTGTTTGTATTCTTTGTATTTTTCAAATAGCATCTGAACCTATTTCTTTGAAAAACTTAAAAAGGCGGTCACAATTTTTTGAACAAGGTAAACCAAAGAGCTAACATTTCATGTACTTCCATGAAATTGTTCCTGCTGCACACTCTCCCTAACAAGTCTGGTGCTGGGTGCTCTACCTCTTCAGTGTTGTTTCTGCAGTTACAATGAAGCAACGTAATTAATTTCCCTTCTTTCCCCAGGGTCATCAGGTTATTCTTACAATTCATGGGTCTACCTTTGTGGTAATGGGTCTTTGCGTGTTCTCTTATATCTATAGCTGTTTAAATCTTTTCTGTGTCGTTCATATTTTTTTTTTCCCCACTGGATGGAAGGGTGGCACTCTCTGTTCAGGTTTGCTACTACCTACAAAACAAGAATAATGGTGAATATTCCAGCAGGGGTTTAGAGAAGATCTCAGAGCTGTTGATGAAGTATTTAACTCTGGATTTGAGTTTGAGTTGCAGCTCTGTGCTTTTGCATAAATTGGTATAAAAAGGCATCTGCTGGCTTTCCACTATGTGGTGATATTATGAGATCCCAAGAAGACCAATATAATTTTTGAATTATAATACGCTAGCATTTAAAAAAAAGACAATGAATGAGGCACTCAATTTTGGTTTTGTAGGTTGCTTTTCAGCATTTTGCATGTCACAGCTCACATACTTCCACTAATGTTGTATGTCTTATGCTGTCTTTGGGCTATGTATGCCTTTCTGTTTTGCTGTAGCCTGAAAGAGTGAAATTCTGGCCTGCTGGAAGCTCAGTTGGGTTTTGCCAATGATTTGTGTGGGGCCAGGATTTTGCTTTTAGTGGTGATGATTTCTGTTTTTCGCCAGAAGCAATATGTGAAGTGCCACAGTAGATATCTGTGTTTGTGGTTCTGTTTGCTTTTTAAATGCTTCTGCTGTATCTGCAATATTATATCTACAATATGGTGGTATTTTGTTGGTGGTTGTTTGTTGATGTTGGGGTTTGTTGTTGTTGTCTGGTTTTTTATTTTATGGCTGGCAGAAATTAGTTTTTTCTTTTAATTATTTTTAGAACAATATTTGAGGTATTTCACTTGTGCTTGAGGGGGAGGACAAGGTTGTATTTCTAGAGTGCATGTTCAGTTCAGCTTGTTAATTTTAAACTTTTGACACTTCAGCTTTGCAATTACATGAAGATTCCTGTGGAGTTCAGCATAAGATTACAGGGGTGAGAGAAGAGGGGAGCAAAAAAGTCTATGCTTCCCTTTAATATCTCCTGGCACAACTGCAATAGATTAAGCTGATTGTCTGATTTTCACTGTGGCTGTTGTCATCTGACAGTGACAACAAAATTGTGTATATATAGAACAGATGATTAGAGTCTTTTGTATCCTAAATATGAACTTTTTTCCACTTCATGTGACTATACTTCAGAATAATGTTGCAAATTTTTTCTTTAATGCTATTTTTCAAAACTGCGATTTGGACGGCTAAGTAACAAGTACACTGTCAACAAACAAAAATAGTTACAGTACTTAAGAAATTGTTATATTTAAATTTGTGCTTCTCCCCATTTTCTCAGCTTTTAATAAATTAGCATAATACACATCTCTCTCTGATAATCATCTTGTCACAGGATGGCAAGGCCAAGTGTGATAGCCTCAAATAGCAAAAGGTTTGTGGTGAATGGTGACCAGTTCATTGAATTCAAGTGTACTTTTGGAAGTAGGAAAGAAGTAAAATTGGAGAGCAGAAATACACTTTTTTTTGGTGGAGAAATTGCCAGTGGATTCAGTTGCTCTTAATTCATACCAAGGGCAGAGGATTAATAGCTTCTCTACCCTTGTGCAGTGTTCTGGGTATTGGTCATGCTAAACAGTTGGGTTTCACAATAATAATAATAAGAGAGGAATAGTAAAGAACCTTTATGTTGCTACAGTGGAAGGTGTACTGCTAATTCAAGCAATTGCTGACGGCACTTGCAAGCATGCAAAGCTTTGAAACAATTGTGCACATTAGTTGAAAGCACCTAATAAATTCTGCCCCTGAGAAAGTTTAGCAGGGCAAATGTGAGTATGTCTTACTAAGGAAGAAAAAATTAGTGTGAAGCTCACAGACTTGCCACAGTTACACAAGTCTTGCAGTAGTTATGTATGGGTCTAATGATTTCTCTCTTTGCCTTCCAAATCTTCCAGGAGGCCCAGAGCCTGCAATGCCTGATGTAAGTACTACTTGTGAACTACTAGTTGATTGTATAATCCTAGCCTTTTCAAGCAGCTCTCTGCTTTCTATTGCTTTTTATACTGCTTTACAATTTTAATCACATCTGAGCGTACTGGCTAAGATTTGCTTTGTCAAGGCATTGGTTGCTTTCTGTCTGTTTGAAGAAAAGGCTAATTTATGTCCTTGTCACTATAAGTGACTGTACTGTAGAGCTGGTAATGGTTCCTATTTCTCACTCTAAAAAAATGTTTTAAAATGTAGAGTGTTGATTACATGGCAAGAGGATAATACAATTTAATTTCTGTGCTATATTAGCTTCCAGTCCCGTCCATCAGCGCTCCTAGCCGTCGGGTTTGGGATCAAGAGGAAGAGCGAAAACGACAGGAAAAATGGCAAAAAGAGCAGGACCGTTTGTTGCAGGTATAATTCATCTTCATAATCATGGGCTGCCAATCTCCTGTGTGTAGCAACAAGGAAAGAAAAGTAGCACGTGACTTCTGCAGTTCTTCTTACTGATGGCCTGGGGAGACTCTCAGGTGCATTTTGTGGCCTGCACAGTCACACACATTAGGAGTTATTCAGAAAAAAGAGGATAATGCTTTTGTGAGCATCATAAAATCAAACACACAATGTGTATTCACTACAGCCAGAAGTGCTCAGTCTTCCAGGGCTGGTATGTTCTTAATGACAACAGAATTTAAAGGTTAAGTGAAGAACTAAGGGGTCTTCCATTTTGAATATTGATTGTATTTTTTCCCCTTAAGGAAATTGCCTCTAGCCTGACTTTTACCTTCAATTAGTGATACTGCCTTATATTCATATATGTAGAGGAGGTAGCCAGTACCTACCTGCTAGAATCCTGTCGTTTAGCAATCAGCTAATCAGTTGGAATAATCTGGCTCCCAGGACCTCTGAGTCAGGAAGCTGAATCTGCTAATGCCAAACCACCTTGATAACCTCTAGCTAGAACTGGAGGCGGTGTTGCAGAGGGAAGGGGCATTGTTTGTAGTCTTAGGATAGCACAAAAAACCCAAGCGTACATTTCTGCAAAGAGCTCAGCCCAGTGAAGTGTAACCATGCTCAGAGACACATCTCTGCAAATTAAATTAAAGTTTGTTGTCTGAAGTCTGTTGGCTAGGAGAGACATCAGTGAATACAATTTATTCTGCACAAGCCCTCTTTGGCTGTATTCAGCAGAAAACTGTGATGTCAAAATGCAAGCATAGAATCTATCTTGATTTTGGAATGTTTCATCTTTTGTTGTTCCTTGTAGCTTGCAAACTCTGCAGGGCAGCAGTTGTACCTTCCTAAATTTACCTGTGGTCTCTGTAATGGTTTGGATATTCCATTTGATACCTGATGAGATGGCTTTAATGAGTGTAAACCTTGGCTCCCCTTTCTTGAGAGCTGACTCAGCCGTCTGCTATCATTTTTTTTTGTTTCTTCTTTTTTAGTCCTGAAGTGATAAATTTGACCAGAGTAATGATGATCTTTCTGTTCCCCATGACCCTAGTAATGAATTTTCAAATAACAAAAAAAAAAAGGAAGCAAAGTCTTTCTTTGCTTATTTCCAGCTTATTTCCAGTATTCCTTAGAAGGAATACTTTTGACATCCTTAAATATTTTGCTTTTCCCAAGATAAAAGTGGTGACTGACAAAACCACCAAAACATTTACCATGTGCTTTAAGCAATGCCTGATATTGCTTTCGTACCAAATCAAAAGTCAAAAGACAAATTTCAAGGTCAAGAAATTGGGTTTTGTTTAAGGTAACATTTCAAAAGAATGAGAGATCTTGCTCACTATTTCACTTAGTGATTTCTTTATATTTACCATATTAATGTGCCTAATTCCAAGTTAAATACAACCACTGTGTTTTTCCCGAAATACCTTAGATAGCTGAGGTTTTTTTGTTCAAATGGTAACTAAAGTGGGGGACAGGGACTATGAGGTTGACTTTTGTGAGACTTAGCATGTAATAAGCCTGGAGTCTCAAAAATCAATTACAGAACTCCTTTGGATGGTATTTGAGCCAGTATTTAATTTGTGGCAGACCTAATGTTCTAGTGGAGCTCAGGGTTCTTTTTTGTCTGGTCTGTGTGGTCTATTAAAAAAACACATTAAATTCCAGTGTACATTTAAATAAAAGTAAAAAATACCATGTTTCTTATTTGCTTGTTTAACTTCAATCTAACCTAACAGGAGAAATACCAACGAGAACAAGAGAAACTGAGGGAAGAATGGCTACGAGCTAAGCAAGAAGCAGAAAAAGAGAGCTCCAAGTATTTTGATGAGGTAGGCTGTGAATAAAACTTTGCTGACTAGTTTCATCAGGGCTTTTTTTCTCTTATACTAGATGCATGCAAACAGGCAAAATATTAGGGTTTTTTATGTAATTTATCTTCTCATTTTGGAAAATAAATTGTTGTCTATGACTTGGTAGAAAGAGATTGCAAAAATGGGATGGAAAGAGTAGGTGGGATGTATTGAGATATGCTGAATTTGTGTCTTTTCCTTATTAGCTGGTTAGGTAACTAACAGGAAGAATATGTTGACAAAAAGTCACAGCATGTGTTAATTGTTGTGATCATAAATGGAGACTTTTGCTATTTATTTACCACCTGATGCTACTTGTTGGAGTTCTCCTTCAATACTTTATCAGGAAGCATGTTCATAAATGTCTGGCTTGTTACTGGCAGACAGTTAATCTGATAAATTTACATAGCAAATCAACTTTAGATTTCCAGTTATATATTTTAAAACACTGAATGCATGTAGTTTCTGTAGATGCTGACTTCTGTGGCTGTTGTTTATGGGAAGATGAACATATTTTTTTCCTGAGTGTGGGAACTGTCTGAGGTATCTCTTCTCTACTGCTAAGTGCTGCTTCAGCCATCCAAACTAGATCAGTTGCATTTACACAGTCATGAATGAGTAGACCATAATTTAAGGCTTAGAACTTCAATAAGAAAGCTTTCTGAGCTGTTGGAGGACTTTGCTGTACAATAATCTAGACCATTTAATATTTTTTCTGTCATTAGAGGTTTTGATGGACCCATTATTTTCTTCCTGCAACTAAAACATCTTTTGACCACTGAAAGGCCTTTTCTCATTTTTGAGAAGAGTCATAGAGTGATAGGTCTGAGGCTTGACTTTGAAATGGTAGAAGAATGGAAGAGTGGAGATTCCTCCACATGAGGATTCATGTGAAATTCATCAGTCTGATATAGATTGCAGTGTATATCTTTGTGTACACACTCTTAAGCCGGTCTCAGGTTTCTAAGTCAAAACAGTAGGGAGAAACGCTGGGTATCATGGAAGGGTTTGTTTTCCATGGGTATTTAAGTGGGGAAGGGATGGCTTGACATGTAAGCGATACTTTGGAAAGCAGAATGTTTCACATAGTTGTGGCCATGCTGCCTGTGGTGCTTGCTAAGGCTGGTGTGTGGATTGAAGCTCTTGAATTAGGAGAATGTGAAACCAAACTGAGCCCTGCGTCTTGCACTGGAAGTGCTGGGGATGATTTTTATACATGCTTACCTTATAGAATAAATTACCTTTTCTGGGTGAGCAATCTATTTAAAAAACAGATCCTTTCCCTAAAAACATGATTCTTTAATTTTCTTTGCCTCAGGAGAAGACCGTTCTAACCCTAAATACAACATCCATCACTTCTCAGGCTTCACCTGTGTCCAGCTGGAGAGCAAGCCCTGAAGCAAATGCTCCCGAGGAGCCAGAACGAGATGGAGAAAACGAGCTGGCAGCAAGCTCGCTGCATGAGGAAGAAGGAAGGAGGAGGCTTCAGGAGGAACGGAGGATCCAGGAAGAAGCAACCAGGCATTTTGAGCAAGAGCAGGAGCTCCAAGAGCTGGAGCTAGAGAGACAACGTAAAGAGAGGGAGAAGCAGCACGCTGAGGAGCAGAGGCGGCAGGCAGAGATGGAGGAGCAGAGGCGGCAGGCAGAGATGGAGGAGCAGAGGCGGCAGGCAGAAAAGCAGAGGGAGGTGTCAGTGGAGGTGCCTCAGTACCAAAGGTGTGCACTTGTGCTAGGGTGTACTTTCTCTTCCTTCTGCAAATTCAAATCCATTTCTTACGGGGCTGTGTCTGTCCTGAGTGTATAAGGATGTTCACGTGAGATTCGTGCTGCAATCAGTAGGTGCAAAATACCGTACCATAGTCTTTCCTTCCAAAGACAGAAGGATCAGGCATAACACAAAGGCCTTTCCCAAGAATCAAGTGCTTTATTCCCTACTTCAGCTATTTTTTTAATGGGATGTGTAAGTACAGTAATTACAGCCAAATGAAAAAAGATCTGAAGGACTTAATGAGAAAATTTTGTAAGAATTATGCACAAGCCAGTGACTCAACTTGAGAGCCAGTGACTCAACATACAGGGCTTCCAGAAGAAATACCAAGTTAGCACTTCTTCAACAAATGTGTGGCTGATTTTTACAGATTTGTCTCTCATTTTAATTCAACAGTGTAACAATAAAGCTTAACTGCAATTTAAGTACTGGGTTAGTTTGTCAGTGAGGGACATCATGGTATATGAGTAAATGGTTACTTGCTTACATATCATAGCCTGCTAGAAATATCCACTACAGATATATTTGTTCCTCTCATTACCTTCTTCAACAGCTTGATTTAAAAAACAATCAAACAAATCCCCACCTATTATTTCTCAAGTTTGTGTTCTTGCCTGGAAGTTTTCAGAGTACTGTTACAGGAGTTTAATCTGTCTGAGACCAATTGAACCAGTAACCTTTCATTATTTTGTCTCCATTTACCTTACTGCCTTGTATATTACTTGGGGCTTCTCTTGAGGTTTTTCTCTTTTTGTTATGTAAGTAAAAAGAGATGACTGAAGAGAAAACATGGTATCAAGTTAAGTCTTAGGAGAAAGTGGCATGATTTTTAAAAACTGCATATATTTGCAGAGGAGGTTGTAAGACCCAAAGTTACTTTAGTTAAATCTAAATGACTGCTGCTTGATATGCCTACTGAGCAAAGCAGGCTGCAATGCTACAATGGCTGAACAGGTTCTTCCTGGCAGCAGAGCCAGGATAACTTTGCAATTTTAGCTTGTCCCAGTTGCAAGATGATAGAACTTTGTGTAGTAATTTATTGAGCTGAGGTAATATCTGCATATCTAAATCCCTGGTACATTCTTTAGTCCACAGGGATTTCATTGCTTCTGAGGTTGCTGCCAAAGGATGTGCTTTGCTAAACATGGGTGGTTTTGCTTAATAGTAAAGGAGCAAGTTCAGTGAAACTGGGCTTTAAAATATCTGGTGTTAAATATTTGCTATAAGATGATATCCAAAGATAAGACTTGAAATCTGAAACATTATATAAACACCTGCAAAGGCATGGTACTTCCTGCAGAGTACACTGAGGGAGGGGACAGTCAGCTAAAGAGTGTTGTCTGTGAAACTTCTTGAGTTTGTGAACTGCACCTGTACACTCTTCTGCAATAAAAATATAATTTTTAGAGAACTGCTGTGCTTTGATAAAATTTTCCTACTGGTTTTGAAATGGCTGAGATAATCACTATTGTATACTGATGCTTGTAGTTTTTGCAGCACCTTCATCTTTGGGATTCTTTTAACACATCTGAATTTTCTCAGTTTTTTCTGGGGATACTTAGTGTTTGCTCAATTTCTAGAATTTTATTTTAATATGTATTTTATCTTTATTTTGCTTCTAGACATTACGAGCGCTATGAAGTATCTAAAACAATAGAGGAACGAGCTGGCCATCCTCTCATTGATAGGTAATAAGAAATTGAATCAATACATAGTTCAAACATCTTTAGCAATAACCATTCTGTCATGCTTATGTCTGGTTTCCTTGTCACTGCACAAAAATGTAATTTCAGGCAGTTTTTCTGACAATTCTTCTTTTTCTGCCTTCTTTTATCAGTTGTATTTCTGACTGTTAAATTAAGACTCCTTAGAACTTTACTTGTTTGGGGGGTGGTTAATTTAAACTGGGGGTTTTTTCCCCTTAAGGATCTATTTTGAATATTTCCCTTAGGAACTATTTATGTCTATTTGTGTCTTTTTCTTTATGTGAACATAATGTTTCTTTTTTTTTCCAACAGGCATTATGAGCGTTACGAAGTTTCTAAAACCATTGAGGAGCAGCCTGGCCAGTCATTTGTTGACAGGTATGTGTGTTATTGAATCTCAACAAGACTGTAACATCACCATTTCTTTGTCAGAAAACTTAAAGTCTAATTAAATTCACTAATTCTAGTGAACTTCAGTCACAGCAGCTAAATGGATACATTGGATTGCTGCTGTGTTTTGCAGTTTTTATGGCATGTTTTCATATTTAAAAAACAAGAGGCCAAACTTTTGTCAAATTATACACTGTGTTGTAAGCAACAGTTAGTCAGTGGGATTCCATGGGGAGAAACAAAACTGTGAGGAGGTAAATATGTGGGTGGTACTAAACTTACCTCGCTGGAAAACAATTTCAGATTTCATGTGGTTGTGTCATAACATGCTCTACAAACTAAGGTGCAGTCATCCCAATTCGGGTTGTGCAACTTGAGAGAGTAAACAAGAAGGGAAGTGAGAGGCAGCAGCAGGATATTTATCAAGGCGACAGTGCATGTTACTCCTGTAATTTACACAAGTTAATTTTAAGGTACAATCTCTTGCTTTACAAATTAAGCCTTTGTTTTGCATTGCATCTTACAGTAGTTCTGAAAGATGACTTCTGCTGTGTATTTGATCACTTCTTGTAGTTGAAGTGAGCATACCTCTCTTATATAAAGAGGAACTCCAAAAATTACAAGGTGCATTTAATGGATCTGTTACTAACAGAAGATCTAGAGCTAACTTCAGAAGGAGCATGCACTAAATAGTTACATCTCGGATATAGGTGTGAGGAGGACACTGTTTTTTCTTCACTACAGGCAGCTGTGAGAGTATTCCATCTTCTTAAATAGATAATAGGTCCACACCATAGGACAGACAGTAAGAATTTAAGGAAGCAAGATGTGATGAAATTTATGCTTCATTTATCTCCACATAAAGAACAAGATTCTTTCAAAATGTGGCTGTGCAGCCAATGCTGTATGCGTAAAAACATTAATGTAGCAGCTTTGAGTTAGGACCAAAGGATTCCTTTAAAATCCTTTCTTTGTGAGTTATTTTAAACTAAAACATTGGCTGTACTACTTGAGACTAATAATACAGCAGAGGTGTTGCTGAAGCTTCTGCTCTATACTGTCAGAAAACAAACTTTTTGGATTTGTCTTCCTGTATATGGCCTTTGTTGAATGCCATTTCCTGGCTAAAACTCATTAAAAATTATGCTTCTATGTAGAATCAGTGGACAGTAATTTTTTCCAAAAACAATCTGCATGCAGGGTTTTGAGAAGGTGTTACAGTGTAGCAACAGTGCTGAAGTATGATTTCAGTTTGTCATTAAGCCAAATAAATTGTAAATCTGCTCTGAAAGTTCTCACTTCTTTGTCTGACTGTAGTCTCCACAAAGCTTCCATAGGGAAGGATTTGGTTTTTTATATGTTTTTTTGGAACTACAATGATCAGTTACTTATACCTGAAGCACTGACTACTTTCAGTACAAAATTTTAACTTTTAATTGGTGATTGTCTATTGAGATCTAAATATAGACTTTTTTTCCCCTTAGTATCCTCTTGATCATTAGTTATTTTTTGCCTCTTGTTTTAAGTATAGCATAAATGGTTGATGGGCGGAATGGTGAAAAAAAGAGGACTGGTTTTATCATCTGCAATGATAAGAGCTTTGTCTGTAATGAGGTCTTATAATTAAGACAGATGTTTTTATATCCTTAGGAATAAGTCAAAGTCAACAACAGAACTGAATGAATTCAACACAATCAGAAATGGTAAGTACTGTATAATTTCCATTATATTTAATGATTTTTGGCAGGTAGAGAAGGAGTAAAGTAGGAGGAAAAAAAGTGTGCATATAGTCATCCTAAGAAAATTAATTTTTAGAGTGTTTTTTGATAGCTGCATTGTGAATTCATACTATGCCCCAATTTAAAGAACCTTCAACAGCAAGATGAAGATCATACAGTCAACATAAAAGCTGAGGACAAATATGATGAACTACCCTATTGAAGACAGTGATTACAAATGGCTCTTAGATGCCTAAATTTTAACATGAGATTTTTACATGAGAAGATCAATCATGCAGTTTTATCATTGAAGATATGTGTAGTTTTGATGCATTGACTCTGTCAACAACAACAACAAAAAGCTGCACATACCAAGATGATGAATGTATTTAATGCAACTTTTTGTCTTCTTAATTTCAGTTAGTGTAGTAATAACAGAGCAAGAAGTCAGCTCTTGATATGTCAAATGGCTTGTGTCCTGGACTCCAGTTCAGTTATATTACTTTGTTTATATTAGAAGAATTCTGTGCAAAGCAAACAAACCAATTTTATAAATATGTTGCAGTCAAAAATGCCTGCAAGGTACTTTTGTGTCTAAAACACAGTTTAAAAAAGTAATCAAAGAAAGTAGATGTATTAGGGGATATATTGCAGATTAAAAATGTTGCTTTCCTACATTAAAACACTGTCATTGAAACTAAAGAGAAAGTAAACTTCCACAGTATTTTACAATGATAATCAATACCATTAAATTCAAGAACAAATCTACAGTCAGAGCACCATTTAAAAGGATTGAAATTTCAATTAAATTACTTATTGCTGAGCAATTTTCTTAATTGTTTTTACTATAAAGAATATGTACTGGATTTAGGAAATAAAAAATTGTTGCCTTGTGATATGTCAACACCTATTGGAGAAAGGTTGCTTCTTTGTTTCCCCTTCCAAATTTGCAAAGGCCATCTATACCATAAATTTCATTTCAACTCAGTAGTTAACACATAATCCAAATAACTGAAAGATTTCCCTCTCCCCTTTGTATCTATATAAAGCAATATAAAGCAGTGTTTTTAGTGCGTTGAAGAAAGAGAGAGAGAGAAAGAAAGAAAGAAGGATAAATTCTTGTAAACAGAGACAACTTGCAGAAGAAAAGAGTATGAACTCTTGAAGAGAAAGAATGTATCCCATTAATTAATGATGTACTTTGCATGTGGTTCAGTTTGTATTGGAGGAAGAGTCCAAATTATGGCTCTAAACGAGACGATACCCTTTTAAAAAGAGGGGTGTGTGCACACTAATGTCTATGCATATACACTTAGGAAGTGAAGGAAAATGTATTTAAATAAGCATTATGTGAAAGGCTACATTAATGGAAATACAAACAAAAAAATTTCAGGAATGTTGTATTGGTAAGTTTTACTCAGCTGTAAAAGGGAACTTGAATAACTTGTGAATGGAGTGATGAGCAACAGCTCCTGGAATTATAGCCAGAGTGCTGACAGGACGATAGCTGCTTCTGTGCCCTGAGGTGTCTGGCTGATATTTGCACGTGTTGCCTGCACAGGTACCCAGAGCAAGTATTCGGAGAGGTCCTGGAACATGGGTGAGTCACAGAAGAAATCTCAGAAGGAGCAAAACCTGTCTGCAGCAGAGTTGGAGAGACAGCAAATCCTTCAGGAAATGAGAAAGAAAACATCTCTACACACGGACAGCAGCTGGATTAGGCAGCGCAGTGCCAGTATACATAAGGAACCCGTTAGTCTGTACAGCAGTAGTATGAGGAGGTAGGAATCTCATTAAATATTAACTGTGTCTCTCATCATACATTTTTTTGGTTATTCTGAACTTTAGCCTGTATTAAAGAACATAGAAGCAAATTGAGTCTGTGAAATGCCGTAAGGTGGACAGCATAGCAGCACAGATAGAAGAAGGCAGCTGTATTACACCTGGGATTGAATGGGTTTTTTCGCAAATAAGGAATGTGGATGTGACCTGTAAATAACTCAGCTGCTTGTTTCTTGGTTGGTATAGCAGCAATGGAAATCAATAACGTGCCTTGTCATCAGCAGACACATTTCAGAATATCAGCATGGCAACCTGGTTTGGAAGTGAATTATTGTGGTGAATTATACTTTTTTCAACACAGAAATATGTCATAAAGTTTGCATAGTTTATTTTTGCTTTATTTAATGTATGAATGTTGGATTTGTCACTTAGGAAACAGCTGAGTTATCAGTCAGGAGAGTGTTTGATTATTGGGCAAACACGTTGTACCTGGGTGATGCTATCCAGTCTGGGTGGATTGTTATTTTTGATCTGGTATCCCTTGGAGAAAACATAAACAAAGCTGATATCTGAGGTCTGTTGCTGCACTGTGGATTTTGATACAGTTCACCCTGATAAGGCTGCAGTGAAGTGTTTTGCTTTTGCCTCGCCTGGTTTTTACCATGAGAACTATGCCTGTATACAAAGGATAATTTATCAGTCATACATTTTAATCTGTGCATGAAGAATATTGCTCAGGGTGATCAAACCTATTAATCCCAGAAAATATTAAAAACGCGAGATTAATGGCTTTCTCTTAAAAAAGTCGGGATATAGCTCTGCTGCTCCATCTGTACTGCCATTTACATTTGAAATGCTTGTATCTCTGTTACAGAGGGGAGTCTTTGGACAATCTTGATTCTTCAGGAATTAGGTCATGGAGGCACCACTCATGGCTGAACCAGTCTGCATCCTCTTCATCTCTATCTTCTAGTCAAGATTTTAGTCGCCCGGTGTCCACTTCAAACCGAGCCTACATGTGCACTCCTTCCTCCAGCAAAGCACCTCCTGTGGCCACCTCTGCAAGAGCCCCCTCCACATCACAGACAGCTCCCAGGGCTCAGTCTCCCCTCTCTGCTTCCCAGTCAGGGTCCCAGACACGCAGCAGGTGAGTGGGTGCCCATTTTCTGGGAAGATAAAAATGTTGGACAGCACTAAAGGGCAGACTTTTTGTATGTGCTGGACTTGCAGCAGTATTCTTGCCCATAGCATTGATTAACAAGTATGGAGTTTTCTAGCTGGAGGGGACAGTGGAAGTACAGGCTGGTATTACCTCCTTGCTTCAGTCACTCAGAAAATTCCGCAGGTTTGTCATCACTGCTTGACATTGGTTAAAAAAACAAAGGAACTTCAATAATCAATCTGCAGTCTCCAAGCTGTGTGTTGGTTACCAAAATGATTAGCAAAAGCCTGTTCCAGATGGCATTTCTGACATTTATTTTCCCTTGGTTTGTTTTAACAAAAGATTCCTGAAACCCACGCTTTATGACCCTCATCTTGGTCTCTCCTCCTCACTTCCTGGCATGTGGTCAATATCATCTTGAGGAGCACTCAGGAATGCTCATAACCCATGACCCTGGAGAATTACAGAGTAGGATGTTGATTTTAATCTAGGAGGAGAAAGCAAGAATTGCAACATATTTTGAAACAAAAGTGGAATTCAGCTGTGGTAGGGTAGATAACTCTGCTGTTTTATGTACTTAAAACATTTTAAAAATACCTTGGGATAGTACTCCAGAGAATCATCCCACACAGAATTGCATGTGTTATAAATAACAACAGTGAACACTACTTCACTAGCTCTTACACTCTCAGGCACTTAGTGATAAATTGACCCCATTATTATTTTTTTAAGCTAGACTTTTATGTTCTTTATGATGTAAGAATATTACCTTCTTATCCATATTTGCTTATTTGTTCTCACTTCCATTTGCTAACACCTTGGTAGATCTATGGAAACTGACCTCCATATGGTTTACATTCAAAGAGTTAACATAGTATTTTATCTCCAGGACTAGCCTTCTTTTATCTAACAAGGTGCAGATGGTGGAACTTGGAAGGGGTGCTTGCTAAAACTTAGCCTTCTGGATAGTTCCCTGCAACTAAGAAGGCAGGAGCACAAAACCTTTGTTCTTACACTCCAAACTTAACAGTACACTTTTTATTTGTAGAAGGTATTTTATACAATGAAATATGTGCCAAGAATGTCACAGAATTTCTTAACTTGTTCCTATGTAAATTTGATGTATAATACTTCAGCTTTCCATGGCTTTCAGTTCTATTCTAAATAATATTAATTTTTAGTTTACTTTCCCGAAGCAGTCCAGTTTTTGCCCGTGTGGTTTTTTTTAATCTCAAAAAGTATTTGATAAATCTTCTTTGTCTTTTAAACATTTTCAAGCTGGTTTTAAGGTTTTTCATTCTATATTTAGGTCAGTCAGTGGGAAGAAAATCTGTTCATACTGTAATAACATTCTGGGCAAAGGAGCAGCCATGATCATTGAGTCTCTTGGTCTTTGTTATCATTTACATTGCTTTAAGGTGAGAGCTGGGAGTCACATCGTGAAGGAACAGGAACTAATCAGGAGCACGCATGGCTACTCAGTGTTATGCTCACAGGGGTTCTTACTAATCACCTGCTTTGCCTTCTACTCTTGACAGCGTGGTGCATGCATATTTCCATGAGGCAGTCCCATTTGCAGGCATTTAGCACTCAATTCTAGAAGTGTTTCTTAAATTCCAGAGTTAACATGTAGGACTTTGAAAAGCAAGATGAGCACATGGACTGTGAGATCAAAGATTTCCTTCTTTGAATAGGTGGCAAAATATTGGAAAATGCTGAACCACTTCTCACAGAGAAAGCAGCTCCTCTTAAAAAAAATAAAAATCTCTGCCTGGACCCTGGCAATTAAATCATTTAAGATGACCCATCCTTTCTAAGTTAACCTTAGAAGACAGTGTTCATGTGGTATTTTCCAAGTGAAGGCATGTTGGAAGAGTTCAAAGTGGCAGGATAAAACCCAGAAAAAAACCAAAAAGATGTCTTTAATGCTTCTCAGACCTAGTCACCTACTAAGTGTACTAGCTCATGCCCAGCAATGAGGCCTGGACCTACCTACATGATTTCCCCTCAGCTTGGGGCATTTACAGAGCTGAAAGAATAAGTATTTGCCTGCAAAAGACAGCAAAGCAGTCCCATTCCCCTGCCCTCAGTTCAGATGTGGAATTAGACTATGACTTGGAGGTGCTGTTGGACCCTACTTCTTCCCTGACTCCAAGAAAGAGATTTCTGTGCCTAGTTCAGAACACTTGTCTTCTGTGGCCGGCTCAAGTGCATCGCCTGCAGTATTGCTAGGGATTGACTCCAAGCTCTTCCTTTTTCTGCCTCCCTGAGCAGGAGAGACAGGACCAATCCATAGTGATCAGTTGTCATTCCCTTTTCTGCAGGACATGTATTTTGTGTGAGACAATCCACCTGTAGCTTATAACCTACATAAGAAAATGCCAAGTTTCTGTTTTTCAAATTTCTGAAAATTAATGAGCTGTTGAACAGACTGCCATCCAAAAGATTCATTACTTGGTTAAGCAAGGAAACTATCTGTCCTTCATAAATTCAGTAAGGGGAGTATTATGTTTTGGATTGCATTCTTTCCAGATGTGGTCCATATTCACAGCAAGTGCATGTTTAGCTACCATAGCTAAATAGTTTAGTGTTAGCATGGCATTGGTCAAGCCTCTTATGTGTTTATGCAAGAAAAATTAAATCAGCCCCATTTCTCCAAATCAGACCTTGTTTCGATGATGCAAACCCAGGAAATTGGGAGTGCCTGAGTATTTTCTGCTTTGAGTGCCAGGGGACTGAGGACACCGACAGCATGTAGTGCCGCATGGAAATCTGCAAGTAGCACACCCAGGTGTTCTGTGCCAAAATTCCTGTTGCCATCTAAAGAACAAAATTTATTTTTGTGCCAAAGCAGTTTTAGTTTTCAGAGAAACCAAAGTTCAAATTAGATTAAATGAACTAATCTCTAAAAACCGTCTGCTTTATGTTTGCTTACTTGGTGTATCTCTGCTATTCATTGTCCCGTCGTCACCTTACAATACTTCCTCAGGGTTGGTTGCATTTTGATCTACTAATCGTTGTACATTTGCTTCTAGTGATTGTGGGGTTATGGTTCAGGCTTTGCTGAGCTTAATCTGAGCTGCTTTTGAACAGCATTTTTGTTTCTTAGTATTTTGGAAGGAGTTGCTAATTATTCATGTGTGATACAGTGTGTTGCCTGTGGATGCGACCTTGGTGGATCCCGCTCTGGAGCTGAAGTCAGGATCCGAAACAACAAACTCTTCTGCAACGACTGCTATATCAGATTTAAAAGTAAGGCAATCCAACTGCAGTGTGCATGACTGTAGTTCTTTGTGCTGTACAACCTCAAGTGTTTGCACAGCTGAGCCACTTGATAGCTTTCAAGTTTAGCTTTAAATTAGCAAATAGGTTCAGCAAGGTTTGATTGCCAGTTTCTGTCTTTTTTAGGGTAGTCATTCCTAACTTCTAACTCACTGGTAGCTGATTTTACCAAGTTGTTATTATGCAGTTTCAAGCAAACAGCATGGTATAGTCATCTTCCTTCCTTTATAGATCTTAAAGTGGTGTCAAGGAGCTGTCAGGTGCTAAATGGGCTTTTCTTGATAACAGAGAAGCCTTTTTGAAAAAGTGTCTACATTTTCTTAAAAAGTAAGCTGAAATAGGTATTTAATTCAGTCCTAATGCATACCTGGAAAGCAATTAGTTTATCTTGTGCAGGTGGCACAAATGCTGGTTTCTTTTTATGATGCTATTATTATTGGAATTATAGGTCTGTAATTGGTTATTCATTTAGGTACAAGTTCAGGAGGAATTGATTTACTTACAGATCTTAATTAAAAGGTGCAGTATAATTTTTTTCCTTCTTATGGTTTGCAGACTTCTGATTTACTGGAGCATGATGTTAAGGCTTTGTATAGTGGTATTTAGGTCTTTTTTTCTGCTGTCATAGATGATGGTAGACAACTTCCTAATTTTGATAAGTGTCAGGAGTTTCATACAGCTCTTTTTTTTATGTAGCAAATGTGAAATTCTATAGGATGATAAAAATCCAGGAAGGGAAATAATTTCTGAATTACTTCCTGGGAAAAATGTCCGTGTTTCTTTATGAGCCTGGCACATTTTTCTCATATTGGAAGGCAGTGAAGGGAACAGGATATTCATGCTACAGTGTTTGAGCAGGAACTGGGCAGCTGCTGGCTGTGAAACCTAGCTCAGGAAAAGAGAAGCTCTGCATCTGATGCTGTTGCTGTTTGCAGGCTCTTTTTGACTTCCATGAAGAGAAGTCACAGAAATGATGATGTGGTACTCGAGCTAAAACCAGAAAGCGCAACACCTTGTGAGGGTAATAGCGCATTCACAGAGGCTAATGTGGTTAGTGGAAGGAGGAAGAGAATCACTCCCTTCCATCTGGAGGTGATCCAGGGCACTGGGTCAAACCATATCTAATTTAAAGTTTGGAGAATGTATCTTCTTGTTGATGACAAGATGAGACTGAAGTGACTGTGTTCCTATTTGAAGCACTCAGATGTGTGAGATTCACTCTGGAGCTTGCTCACGTTATTTTTTTTCTCTGTCTTTTCTTTTGGGGGGAAATATTGCTGGGTGAGTTGGATAAATAATTTTATTATGGATGAATTGCTATTTAGTCTCTCTTTGACGTTACAGCCCATAAAGTCACAGCAGTGCCTTTCAGAAGCAGAGCTGATCTGTGAGGAAACGTTTCTATTCCCTTCCCTTCAGACTGCATCTACTTGGGCCAGTGGGCACCTCAAAACATAATTCTATGAGATACAAGTAAAATCAGGAGTTGTAAGAACTTGTAGGTACAGAACACAGTATTCAAATTAGTTATTAGTAATTGAAATCAGCTATTTGAATAATACAAAACCCAGCTATGCAATTACTGCAGTGAAAATGCATTGAGAGGACCGTACTGGCCTATGATGTGAGATCCTGTGTTTTGCAGTTGGCATTTGACATCAACCTGGCTAATTATTTGTTAGTTTGGAATGTGAGCATGTTGGCTAAAAGGTTTGATAAACTGTAGGGTTATTAATGTTCATTTTGCAATTTTATGTAATTTTATGTGATATTTTTGCACATTTTTGTATTAGTTCTGTGGTTTAAACTTGGAACATTCTAGTGAAACACCACTGTATTGGCAGATACCTACACAGAGGTATGCAGAGAGGATAAAAAAGTTCTTTATAGTATTATAGTAATTTAGCAAATTTTAATTTCATTATTGAAGGGTAAATTTAGAGAAACTATCACTCTGTCCTAATACTAAAAATTAATAAATTTAAAATAATTCTTAAGAATTTGGTAAGGTGCATGTTCTGTGGAATATGACTTGGCCTGAAATACTTGCAGTGCTATAATTGGATTAAATTCAAATTTGTATTGTTCATTAAATTTGGATTGCTTGATTCAGAATGCATACATTAGTGTGTTACCATTTTCAATAAGTATTTGAAACTTTAAAATGTTTTTTTACTATTAAGTGACTATTTTAAACTTTAAAATGTTAATTGTTGTCACAAAAGTTCTTCAGTAACTAGACTTTACTTACAGTTTCTTTTGTCTCTCCCTAACAGCTGGACAACCAACCTCCATGTGAAGCAAATGAAGATATGAAACCACTGTTGCAGATACAAGAAGAGGTGATTGCTGCTGATGTAGATCTATAAATATATATATTGTGTGTGTGTGTGGTTTTTTTCTAAGAGTAACTCTTGCTTGTCTAGTCTTCATAGCAATACCTTGTATTCTTCATGTAACTATTTTTATTTATAAGAAAGTAATTGCAGTAAGAAAATAGCTGAGAAAAATGCTTTCACATTTTCAGCTTCAAGTACTGAGAGCACAAGAGAGAATAAGTATATTTTCAGTAATAACTTCAAAATATTTTTGAGGCTTATAATCAACTAGTTGACTTTCCAATGGTATATGAAGAGGGTATTTTGTTTCTAAGCTCTTGAAATGAGCATTAGAGAAATAGCTAATATAAATATATATTTGCAATTGCTGTCTTTATTTTTGACATATACTGAAAGTGAATTCTCTAGTTAATATGAAGCTGCATTTAAATGCACACAAATGTGTTTGCTTTCTATATGCTGGTTTCTAAAATTATGTGCTTTTTTGAAACCTAAATACAAAGAATAATCTCAGAATTTGCTCAGTGGTGTTGGCATAATATTCTGTGGAATCCATTTAAGAGAGAGCATTTTCTTTTCCTGTTTGGAAATGTAACTATCACTCTTTCCTCTGCAAATTGAGTGGAGAATGGTTGTTGAATTACCATATATTTGTAAATAAAAAATCGGATGTTGCATTTATTAGAAGTTTTTGTCTTTTCTGTTCAGCTAAAGATGTCTAAGGTTGTGTGTGGAAATATAAAATTGTTTGACTTTCATCTTGGGAAAAATATTTGTTCTGACAGGATTAAGTTGTTCACATAAATATATGCAAGAACAACAGTTCTTCCTTTTTTTCTCTCTTCCTTTGTAGTCAGTGTCAAAGTCTGTGTACAGCTTTTTCATCAAACTCTTCATGCTCTTTCCCTTGAGTATTCAGTACCAGTGGTGAGACTATATGCCCATCCCTGAAAAAAAATTGAAAGAGGTGGATGTTCCTCAAAATTTCTCTGCTATTGCTAGTGCTAGAAATGAAATGCCAAAAATATTTTTGGGTTAGGTTCTGCTCCTCTTGAAAACACAGCTGGAATGTGCTCTATGTCTCAGTGGTGGCTTCCAAATTGTTCTGGACAGTGGCTTCCCCAAATCCTTTCATGCTTGGTTACATACCCTTCTGTGTCCATATCATTGGAAGCAGTGAAAAAGCAGAGGAAGTGCATCAGAGGAATATGGGGGAGTGTTTTGTGGATAAAACTGAGGAAGAGGAAGCAGACAGGTGTAGGAGGACTCTTGAGTGTGAGCTTGTATGTGGCACCATGAAGAGCTGCAGTGAGGCTGCAAAGCAGCTTGGGGTGCTCCTTGCTCTCAGGGGATTTTGCAGGGTGTGGTGTGTAGGGGAGCTCACAGACTGGGAATAGAGATTGTGGCTGTGATAGCTGGGGCCACAAGGGGAGATTGTTCTGTTTTGGCATAGTGGGAGAACTTCACCTGTGCTCCTGTAATTTCTCCTGCTCGTAACTGAATGCTGCTTGCTGAATTACAAAGTGCCAAACATTATTTTTACTTTTTGCTTTAAAAATTATCATAAAAATCTAAAATGTCTCATTGGCCAAACTTGACTCTGCTTTTTGGTATTTAGTTAAAGACTGGTAAAGTGTTTAATTTGGTTTTTACTGTTGTGGTAAGTAATGACATGATAGACCACAGATGACAGCACTGCAATGTGAAGACTCTACTCATCAAGTACAGACTGTAGTGACTCTGCCTGCTCAAAGAGCTCTCTGGAGTCCTCTCTGCTGCTTGTGGAAGAAGCTTGCTTCCCTAAATTCAGAATCTGATTTAGGTACTGTGAAGGTCTGGCTTTCTGTTAAGGCACATACCTTGGGTGAATATGGTGTGATGGCCCTCTACATGGTAGTTTTCAGACTTGCATTTATTGTAGACAAAATCTACCATAATGAACCAATGAAGCACTGTTCTTCTGACCCCCAAATTCCAGATACATACAGTCTCCACTACCAGCCTTGAAGTACACCGAGAGAAACTTTTGTTTTGGTCACAAGTCAAAGATTCTCAGCTTCTAACCAACGAATTTATCTTAGCCTGTTCATCCCTCTGCCAGCACTGTGTTGTGCAGCAAAACTGTGAGAAAATTTAGGGATGGTGATGCTGTTTTTTGCATCTTGAGCCCAGTCTGTTTCCTGTCCATGGGAATCCTTTGGGCATGGAAATTGGTGGTGAAAAATGGAAGGAAAGCAAATCCAGCAGCCTGTGGTCTGCAATGCTGCCTGACTCATGTTCCACAGCCTGGAGTGGTATGCTCTAAGCCAGGCTGGCTTCTCCTAGATGGTGTCAAGTACTTCCATGCAGGTTCTAATTTCATTTTCCCACAAAATGTCTGCAAAAAGGCTGGGTTATTTCGTTAGCTTGCTTGTGCACAAATGAGTGGTATTTCAAATTTAGTGGGCCTCAAAGAGCTGAAATTGAAACTTTTGAAGAGTTGAAGCTGAGTTTCCACCAAGCTCCTTCAAATCTGTGTGGTTAGATAGAAGGTAGGAGAATAGAGACAAGTAGTGAAGGTAATCTGGCCCCTAAGGAGTTACAGCTGTGCTAATTATCAAGCATTAAGAACAAGCCTGCTCTTAACAGGCCACAGCTGGATCCAGTTAAGAGGGGTATTATAAAAGAGCAGGTTGGCTGGTTGAGAGGGGAGATGGAGTTGGCTGTGCTGAGAAGAAGGAGTCAGTGCTGTGAGGAGCTGCTCACGAGAAATCTCTGAGAAGGTACGGAACCTTTGCTATAGGATAACAACAAATCTGCACTTGTTAATTCACAGTGGCAAATGTGAGTAACAAAAATTCCTTTGTCTCTTCCTTCTCTTGGAGGGGAACAGACAGAAAAGCCCATCTAATAAATATTGTATTTTTTCTGTTTTGATCCTTCCTGAAGTATTTAGAGCATGCTGGGCTCTCAAGTTCAGCAAACCTGGTTATTGACACAAGATGGCACTGTGGAAGTACACCTTGCACATTAAAAAGCCATTTCTGTGATTGTAATCTCATGTAAAAGGGGTTGTGTTTTCTAAAAGATGCTAAAGTTGTGATGTAAGAGAACTTTGTCTTAATCTTGGCCCTTTCTCCTCACCTGGCATCATGGAGGTGTGATATGCAAGTGAATCTGAGACATCTTCTTGGGCTCTTTTTGGTTTTTTTTGGTTGTTTTTTTTTTTTCCTGTTTCATTTATTAGCTGCTGCTTAAAGCACCTCAAGGTAAGCATGATGGTAATGACAACAATTCCTGTGCAGAAAAATGAACTAGATGATTTCTAGTGGAGGTTTTTGCTGTATTTTTCTGGATTCTTTTTTAAGGTATTGTTCAAGGAAAGAAGAACCAATTGCTCTCCCTCAGTTCATCAGCTGCAGAATTGCCGTTTAAAGTTGCAGCCCTCAAATGCATGGGTGTACAGGAGAGCTGGAACTTTGCACTGCTGCTAAACTCTGAGTACATTTCAGGCTGTGTGCTCTGTTCAATACTCCCAGTGCAGGGTGCTGGTGAGAACATGTCCACTGTTAGCTGAGGTGTATGGCTGTCTAAGCTTCACTGACATCAGCAGTCATGCAGACTGTGATTCACATGTAGACACCTGCATTATTGCACACCTGTTTACTTAATACTTACTTATCTGGCTTTTAAAAAATCTGGAATTATCTGAGAACTCTTGAAATCTCCCCTCTCTTTAGGCTTGCAGGCAACTAATTGTAGTGTACATTTGAATGCAGCTTTGGAACTGAGTGGTCTATGCGTAACAGCTCTGTCACAGGTCAAGATTCAAACAGAGTGACACTTCAAAAATAGAAAATGTTCCCCATTTCACTGTGGGTTATGTCTAATATATATGAACAAATCAGGCATTTTGGAGTACAGTCCAAGGTACTGCATATGTTCTTAGTTTTTATGAGTTTCTTTTAGAGTTTTTATAACAGGAGATTTGTCAGAAATTTCAACATGAATTACCTATGAGTTCACCTGTTCACACAAGCTGTCACACCACAGGCAGTGCTGATCAGTGGCAGGATTTATGCAGCAAAGCCCATTTTTAGAAACTGATGTCTGAGTTTGGAGTTCACACTGACACCAGAAATGGTCAGAGGCAGTCTCGTTATTTTCAATAAAATACTTTTCAGGTGAATCCCAAGGGAGAGTTCAAGTGATAAGTTCAACACTTCCCTTAGGTAATAGCTGTTGTTGCATGGCCCAATCTGTCACTTATGGAAGGGGAAAGTGTTTGAAATCTGACAATGTGAACTCAGTGTGAAAAGTGGTATGCTTGCAGCAGTGTTTTAAATTCCAACCAATCATTTGTAATGGATTAGCAAAACCTGTGCCATGGCTGTAATGGAAGGCTTATTAGCAGCAGGCATAATTACACCAAAGAGCAGCTTCATGCTGGAAGCACTTTAGCATTTTCATTTTAGCCCCACGCTTCTTGGTAGCTAGGGGCACCAACATAAAACAACATATGAGGATGATTTAAAGTGCTTCCTCTCAAAAGGGATGTTCTAGAGTGAGCAGTGGGGTATCAGTTTATTAAAACTGCAGAATTTTTTTAATTGGTTCAACCAACTTGAAATAAACTTGCCAGTTAAGTATCTGCTGTAGGCAACAAACACTCCAAAGACCTGCCTTATTGTGCAGTGGGAATTACTGGGTTCTCCTGAACAGTTTATATTGTACAGAGAACAAAAACACTTAAAAAAAATAACATGTGCAAGTGTGTATGCACCTACAGTTTCTCTTTGTTGTTTGCAATAGAAGAAAGAAAAAGCTCAGGCCAACAAATGGGCAGCTCATGAGCACACCCCCGTGAGAGCAGGCCTGTGTTTGACACAGTGTGCCCCCCTAAATGGTCTTCTGCAAGTACCTGGGCCAGAACAAGTGTTTCTGATTCCCTGAACTCGAATTTGCTCATCTCCTTAGGCACTTAACCAGATGTGCCGTTTATTGCTGCTTCAATTGTATATGGCCCCTCTGTACCAAAATTCACAGATTTCAGGCTCAGACCAGGCTACTGCAATATTTGGTCTGCCTGTGTGGCTACAAAGATCAGAATCTCTCATCCAGCAATTCCCATATTGAACACAACTGTATGAACAGTGGTGTTTGCTGGAAAGAAGCTCTGTATAGATCTGAAGTATGCAAATAATGAAAAGTGTCAAAATAAATTGTTCCAGTGGTTAATTAGCACTCTTCAAAATGCTAATTTTAACTTATTTTAATTACATTTCTAGCTTATTATTAGTCTAGATTTTATTTTTGTTCATTTAAGTTGATTTAGACTTCTAGAGCTAGATTGATTATCTTTGTTCTGTCTTAGATTGTACATATGTCCTTTTTTGGGTTTTGTTGGGTTTTTGCTTTGTTTTGTTTCTTATACCTGTACATAAAGCCTTGTTGCCCACATTAAACACAAAATGCAAGATTACCTCTGTGGGTGGACATTTTGGATTGAAAGACCTCCCAGTGAACTGCAACATAAAACTATCCCAGGAGAATTTTTATAACACAGGAGAAATAATCCTGAAGAGCATTTAAAAAATCTGAGGCTGTATAAGGATTTATTTTCACAAGGCATATATTCAAATGAGAGCTAAGGTCCATAATGGAATTTTGCTGCATAGCTTTTGTGGATAATTACTCAGGTTTTGATT